GTCTGGGACATTCCTGAAGTTACAGGATATCATTCTGTCTAAACATGTATAAGACTGTATGCTTAATAATAGCCCAATCCTATGCATATCTTCTAGAAATAAGTTCCATTGAGTTCAATTGCATTTATTCCCAGGAAAATGTGTATAGGATTGCACCCTAACATTGCAACCCTAAACCTACTTACTTAGGAGTATGACCCATTGAAATAAATGAAACTTATATCTGGGTAGTTATGCATAGAATTATGCTGATATTCTTTAGAATAGTAGAAGCTAGCAATTCAGTGCTACCAATATTTTAAAATGTTCTTCCTTCCTTTTCCGCTCTCTCTCTCTCTCTCTCTCTGATTTATGTTGCCCAGTTGCAGTACTTTCAAATAGATGTGCATAGAATTGTACTATAACTCTTCCGGCATTTTGATATTATTGATACAGCAAGAGGGTTTCTGGGTAGTTGGCATCTCTAATAATTTCGCTCTTTCAGTGATGCCTGGAATGACAGCAGAGCTATTGTAACAGTTTTCCCTCCCCTTCTCACAGCGCCTAACATTTTGGAAGAAAAGAACTATTGGGGCCCTTGCCAACGTGGCTAAATCTATTTTAGCTCCCTCTGACTCAGATAATCAAGTTACTGTTCTCCTAGAGGAGCCCCTGTGACCACTCCAGCTTTAGCATGGTAACAGCCTTTGGAATAAATGGCAACCATGATTCACACTTTTTTTTTTTACTCTACATTGTCAACGGGATCCTTAAGCATTCTTTGTTTCACGCTGTGACACAAATGTTGGTGTTCACCAGATGTTGGTCATTTGGCTTCATGGGTTGTCAAATCATCCTGCCCAATTCTTGCAAACTCAAGGCTGGGTCATCCCTTAGAAAATCAATCCATCTCCTAACTGATCTTCGCTTTCTTCTTCTGCCTTCAACTTCCCCTGGCATGATTGTCTTCTTCAGCGAGCCATGTCTTCTTACGATGTGCAGTTTCATAATTTTTGGATAGCTATAAGTATTATGAACTCTGACTTTGTTCATTGTTATAAAAAGGGATCGTCTTGAGCATTAATAAATCCAGATTTATATTGACACTGCCAGAATCACTGTTCCAAAAATGCCAGGCACCACAGGAAGGGAGGGCGGGCACTGTGAGGAAAACAATGGAAAGCCTAATGTCGGTATAAAGTGAAAAGGGATCTGTCCATTTTTAGATACCGCATCAACCTTATGGAAACATAGAAACAGAGCGAGTCAGAAGAGGCCTTCCAGGCCAGCTAGTCTGACCTCTGGCTCCAGCCAGCTCTGCTCATGACATGCCCACCATGTGCATGTCAAGCCTATCCTTGAACATCCTCACCAATGGGACCTCGACCACCTCCTGCGGAAGCCCGTTCCACACCCTCAGGGTCCTGACTGTCAGGAAGTGCTTCCTGGCATCCAAATGGAACCTTGGCTCCCTGAGCTTTGCTCCAGTGGAATGCATCCTGCCCTCCTCCACAGGGAAAAACAGGTCTGAACCTACCTCCACATGGCACCCCAACAAATCCTCTCAGAGTCTCCTCTTCTCCAGGCTGAAGAGACCCAGTTCCTTCAGTCTCGCCTCATACGGCATCCCCAGCATACCGGCCACCAACCTTGTGGCCCTACGCTGCACTGACGCTAACCTGACTATATTCTTTCTGTAACGAGGGGCCCAAAACTGAACACAATACTCCAGTTGTGGGCGCACTAAAGTCATGTAGAGTGATAGTAATACCTCTCTTGATCTAGAAGCCACACTTCTGGCTATGCAACCAAGGGTGGCGTTCGCCCTCTTGACCACCGCATCACACTGCTGACTCATGTTCAGCCTGCAGTCAACCAGCACCCTGAGGTCCCTTTCACAAGTGCTGCTCTCCAGCCACTTGTCCCCTAACCTGTACTTATGACACCCATTCCTACGCCCCAAGTGCAAGACCTTGCACTTATCCACATTGAATGCCATCCTGTTGTCTCCTGCCCACTTCCATAGGAACGGGCATAAATGCAGGCACACTGGGGGGGGTGCAAATGCAGCCATGGGGGGAGAGATGGGCGCGAATGTGGGCACGCTCGGGGTGGGGGAGACAGGTGCAATCGTACTGGGGTGGGGGAAGATGGCCGAGATCGCGGTTGTGCTCCTGCAGGAAAGATGAGCGCGATCTCGGCCATCTCCTCCCCCCCGCCCCCAGTACGATCCCGGCCATCTCCCCACTCATGGGGAGGAGGGAGACGGCTGCAATCACGTTTGCCACTCAATGTAGAGTTCGCGACCTGATTCAAAATTTTTATGAATGTTTTATTCGCCACCCAGTTTGGTCACGAATAAACTAAGATGTTTGTGATCCCGGGTACAGTGGTATATGAGCAGGGAATGGCCACTTTCTTACGTAAGTCAGCATGGGTTTCCTCCACTGTAGAACTAGATCCACTTTAGGCTCCACTTTGGAGAATGTTTTAAAAGCTGCAGGAGGGAACTAGAACTGCATGGTCAGAGGAAAACATACAGCGCAATAGGAAATTATTAAACTAGTGCAATGATAATACTAGTTTCATGTTGAGCCCTGTTAAAAGATTGAGAACCAGACATAGGATTATACATTTCTACCTTGTATCCCCTCCCCTTCCTTTCCTACACCACATTCTCTTTTGCTTAATTGTAGTCAAGCCATTTGTTTTTCTCTTCTTTTTTCTTTTTTCAAATCTTTATTTTCTTAACATATGCAGATACAGAAAGAAAAATGTAGAACAGAAGAAACAGGGCTTTCTCTGCGGTGGCGCCCAATCTATGGAATGCGCTCCCCAGAGAGGTCTGCCTGGCGCCATCGTTATCTGTTTTTCGGCGCCAGGCGAAGACCTTTTTATTTAAACGTCATTTTAATTGTTAATATTATTTGCTTATTTTATCTGGCCAGGGCAACTTATTTTATGTTTTATATTGTTAATTTGTTTTATATTTTTAATGTATTATATTTTAATTTATGTTGTGAGCCGCCCCGAGGCTTCGGCGAATGGGGCAGCATAGAAATGTTTTAAATAAATAAATAGGAAACTAACATAAACAGAACAGATTAAAATGAACAAAGTTGTCAAGGAAATTTTAAACAAATTCCTCCAAGACTATCTTTCAACATTCTATGAGAGTTTACAGAAAAGAAATCATTAATCTGTGCAACAACAGATCTTCTAATCACTTCAAGTTCTACTGCTTGTCCTTTTCTTTTCCAAACTCCCCTCAACTCCCATTACTCATGTTGAACAGAGAAAAATTTAATGATAAATGGAAATTTTACTAACCGTCTTCTGTTCACATAGTTAACTCTGCCATCCCAATCAAGCCATTTGTTGGTGCATGTGATGAGCAAGATGGGTTTTAGTGGGGTTTATCAGGGCTGGCACTACCTGGAGGAAAATGAGAAGGGTGTTCTATGGTGTGGAAGGCAGGAGTGGCCGCCCTGGCCTTTCCCCTTGCTTCAGGCTAGAGCTGTGTTCTCTGGAGCCTGCCCTTTACCACTGCTGTCCTTAGGAGAGGAGAAGGAAATTGACCCACACCAACATCCAGCTGCTAATTCAGGCAGGTTCTATAGGTCTTTTTCTTGGTCCTTGCTTCAGTCTTAGACTGGCCATGAGTCTGAGTGGTTAACCATGCTTTCTAGTCCAAGCTCCCTAGGCAACGAAAAAAAGGCAATTTGGGAAGAAGGCTAGGAATCCTAGTTTTCTTTCTGTGGGTCGTCCACCCTCTCTGGGGAGTATTCAGGTACACGGAGGCAGGTGCAGGCACACACACACTGCTTGCAGCACAAAACGACACTTTGTGGGGAAACCTTTTCAACGACTCTGCTGCAAGAATAAATGGGTACTGAGCCCAGCATCGTTGTATGGAACACTCCCCATTGCCCCTTTCTGGAGTAAGACGTTTCACTTTGTCTTACAGGTACCCAGATGAGCTGCTTTTCTCCAAGCTCGTTTTCTTGGCGCCAGGCAGCTTACGTTGACTCCTACTGCTGGGCAGCGGTACAGCAAAAGCAGCTTTCACAGAGTGACTCGGGGCATCTTCCACTCTGGCTCCACAAGGTGTGTAAAGATAGAGTTATATTTTCTTCCTCCTCCTCCTCCTCATGCTCCTTCATGAAAATCCAGCTCAGAAATTTGAGACTGCAACTCTCAACCTGTCCCCGTTCATGGTTGTCTCTCAGCTATTGTAAAGCATCTGCTTTGATTAAGGACCGTCTGGCTTGGTTTTGTCTGTTGTTGTGCTGCTGAAACATTTGCCACTCACTGAAAGGAATGTAACAGCTCAGTCTGAGCATTTATTAATAATGATATACCAATGCCCCACCTTTCTTCCTCATGCAAGGAACCTTAACACAGTTTGCAAGTGTTACTGCCTCTCTAGTTTATCCTTACGACAACAACCCTGTGAAGTAGGTTAGGCCAGGAGGCTGTGGCTGACCCAAAGTCACCCAGTGACTTGTGAGGACTAGAACCTGGATCTTGGCACTGTTAAATGTTATGTATCTATTTCTAAGAGGCCCTTCTGGATCCTGCCCAGCAAGTGGGTTAACAAGTATGGGTTGGATTGGCATGATAACTGGGCCAGTGGAATGGACTTCCATATCCCCTCCTCCAGTCCCTTGAAAAGGCTCCATAGAAGTTCGGGTGATGCTGCCAAAAGGGGTGATCTGTGCTGCAGAGGCACCCTGAAAATTGGGTGGAAACAACTTCCATGGGCAGAGCCCTACTGTCGGCTGATCCACATCCTGGATCCAACCCCACATAAATGTAAAATAGGATGCAGTTAAACATTTGCAACAAAACTTGAAAAATAAAAACATAAGAAAAGTGCAGTACACCAAGGGACCTGATGTCCCCCAAACCTGGATGATTAAGAGCATCCAGTACAGAACGGGAGGCACTGCAGAGACATCTCCACCTACTAGTTCTCCTGACCTGCATTTTATGCTGCACAGATTTCATTGCCCTCTACCTGGAGTGCCTCAGAGAAGGAGGCTGGAGAGGCATCAGGAAAACTCAGCCTAGCTTCCCCACTGATTCCCCCCTTTCCCCCTTCTCTGCAGTTGTTCTCCCAGTCTCAGAGCAATTGCTCTGCTCAGTCCCAGTTTCCTTTCCGTGCTGTCTGCAAAGGAGACAAGTCCAACTCTCTTGATTCAGGTCCAAAAATCCACATTTTCCTACAGCCTCTCAGACATGGTCCAGGGGCAATAGGATTTTTCCCTAAAATATAAACCAGTATGACACCTGTTCCAAACCACAGCAATTAAACCATTTAATAACAGCCTATCCAGGAAATGAGCACATTAAAAACTATTTTAAAAGCAGCTTTTTCAAAGTCATTTTTGGAAAGGTGTTCCAGAAGGTTGGAGTCACTGCTGAGAAGACCCTAGTACCTATCAATCTAATTTAAAAGAAGTATTTTACTTTCTAAATAAATACATTATTGGTACATAGCACTGTTTGCTTGTGTACCTTTTCACAAACAGTAGATTACAAGGTTCCAGTGACTCTGTACCTTCAAGAGGGAGAATAAGAATGGTATGATTAAATGTCCCTGTATCTACATATTTTTCTGCCTGCAAATAGCAAGCAAATCTCAACACCTCCTATGTATGCAGTATTCCATGGGCCACCTGCCACCACACAGCCAAAGTCCCATCTGCTTTCTGAAACAGAGCAGCCCAGAAACCTCAGAGCTCCAGGAACTGGAGACTCCTATTGGAGATTCTCAATGTAGGGATGAATATTCAAATTGGCCTTTGCAATGCACATTTATGTTCCATCAGCCTGATTGCTGCAGCCCTTTTCCAACACTGTCATTAACTCCCACGTGTGCTGTGGGACTAACATTAGTGAGACTTAGGTAACTTCAGCGTAGCTCTTCTGGCATCATGACACTCCCAGCATTATCTTTGCATTTCCATTCTTCTACAACCTAGGCTGGCGAGTTTTTACATTGGCCCTGCCCCCATTCCTTGGACATTCTCTGACATGTTGAAAAAAAAGCAGATGAGGATTTATGCTGCAGGCTGCCGCTTGTACACACCCTTCTCAAGTTGCACTCCAGCTGTCAAAAAAAGCATCCTCCACTAACACTTTGGCAGCACAGAAAGGGAGATCTCCCCTCCCAGCTGTCCCCTTTTGGGTATGAGCAGAGGGCTAACTGTAGACATGGTTGTTCTGTTACTCCTAAGGAATACCCCACGCTGAAGAGCACTGCAGAAAGTAGGTTGCTCCATCCTGTATTAATGGGGAAATGTAGCCCTGCTATGAGGATAACGGTTGTAATGTAACACCACCTGGGAACCCTAGGCCCTTACTTAGGTGCTTCAGAGAAAATAAAATGTTTTGTTTGGAGTCCCACTGAAACAGAACCTGAGGAATTGCCTGACCTTAGAGATTCTCAGGGATCCCAGCATCCCTTCCTAACTGGCACGGTACACGTTTGGCATGTGGACCTCAGAGTCTTCCATTATAAAAGGATCACACATAAAATGATTCGAAAGACACTTGCTGGGGACCTCTACCGCCTTCGGTCGGAGCCTTCCTTGCCCAACATGGCATATTCCAGATACTGTTTGAAGTACTACTCCCATCATCCCCAGCCAGAATGGCCAATGGGTTTGGAGGAATGGGTATACACTGAATGAGTGTAATAAAGCTGCTTCTGATATTGTTCAATTTCACATAAAGGGGGAGCTGCTGTGTCAGCAACTCCATTTGGAACCAGGAAAGAGTGACTCCGATTATGCATCTTTGTTGGTTGAAGAGCTCGCGGCTCAAAATATGCAGGGACCATTATATGTGCGTAATGGAAGGCACTCTAATGCATAGGAGCGTGTGTCTCACAAAATTGTAGGGCCCTGTTAATTTTACCAGCTATACTTTCGGAGTGCCCTCATTCCAAAGCAAGCTTGTAACAGCAGAATGTGTTTCAAAATGTGAAGGAAAGGAAAGAAACACAGTTCCTAAAGTAGAGGAAGGGGCAGATGAGTGGGGACTGAGAAAATGCTGATACCTAGACTAAAGAAAGATCATGAGTGGTGCTCCTTTGTGAGGATATCTCAAGCTGAATGCTTATCCCATCTTTTCAAAAAGGACTGGATCATGAACTTCGGGAGTTTATCTGGTTTCCTGGCTGCAATTAGCTTGTTTTCCAAAGACAGACACATTTTCTAGCTTTGTTACTCAGAGGAATAATGCATGTGTGAGTCACCCAGCCAAAGTGGTTTCAGATTGGCCTCCCCTCCACTTTATTACATTCTTATATTGCAGCTGTCCTCACTTGATCTTTTCTTCTCCCGGGGCCATTTCTGCTACACAGCAGCAAAAACTGAATTCCCAACCAAGAGTTCTGTGGTACCTTAAAGGCTACCACATTTATTATGGAAAGCTCCGGGGCCCACAACATGTGGCCCGTGGGCCAGATGCCTCCCATGAAGCCTTAGCTGTGGTTCTTCATGGGCAGCCTCCCACTGCCACTTCTCATGCCTCACTTACTGTCCCTGCCACATTGACTATCTGCGTTTCACAATCGAGCACTGTAGATTTTGTAGATTGTTACCCTTCAGACATTTTGGCCTATAGCTCCCACCTTCTGTTATCCATGTTGGCTAGAGCTGATGGGAGTTGCAGGCCAAGCCAACTGGTATATAGCACTGGACGCTTATTCTTAGTATTTTGCATTTTTCAAATCTTAATTGCAAAAATCCACATGTGGTTTGTAAACTGTCACGGCTGTTGTTGTCTCATGGACAGATCCTGCTTCAAATCATCCTGTTTGTTTTCCTTCCCAGTTTTTCCCATACATCCTTCTGCTAGTTGCCATCTTATTGTACCTGCCCTATCTCTTCTGGCGCTTCACCGCAGCACCCCACCTTGGTTCAGACCTGAGGTTTATAATGGAAGAACTGGACAAGGCCTACAACAGAGCGATCAAAGCTGCCAACAGCTGCCAAGATGGCAACGTGAAGGAATCTGCCAGCTCCGCGCCTGTCTTTAATGACAACGTTGCCCAGAGGTAATGTCACATTCCTGTGCGTTTTCCAGGTTTTAAAACGTTAAGAAAATATATTTAAAGTGCCATCACATAATGCACCTGAGTAAATGTTCTGGGATGGAGGCACCATTCAGCTGTGGACTTAGATAAACACATCCACATCTTTGAACTTGTGGACTTTAATTTATTTTAATTGACTTAGGGTATCTCTAGTTTCATTAAGGGTTCATTCTTTTTAAGGATTGTTCTTGATCCTTCTTACATTATGTCTGTGTGCTCTATGCTTTAGATAAAATGATTTCCAAGGAAAAATGGAACTCAAGCTACTGAGTTCTTTCTGGTATGAGTAAGCAGGAAAAAAGTTCCTGCTTTCTAGTCTTAACAGAACTGTTGCTCCTGAAATTATCTCAACGAATGACATGGATGCCTTGGAATTTTGATACATTTCCCAGTTTCCTCTGTGTGTGTTTTCTGCAGTATCTAAGGGAAATGAAATCCTGATGTAATAGCTCTGAATATTGGATTTTCCCCCTTCAGTTTCTGGGAGATATCTGACAGCCATTTCAAATATCCCATTGTGGAACAATACCTGAAGTCGAAGAAAGGTTGCAAGACCCTAATCATCAAGTACATTGTTTGCCGTTTGCTGACTCTAATCATTATTCTGCTGGCTAGCCTCTACCTGGGCTATTACATCAGTCTTTCTTCTATGACGGATGAGTTTATCTGCAACGTCAAAACGGGCTTATTGAAGAATGACACCAGCGTTCCAGATCGATTTCAGTGCAAGCTGATTGCTGTCGGCGTCTTTCAGCTGCTCAGTTACATCAACTTGATTGTGTACGCGCTGCTGACACCCCTTGTGATCTATGCATTGCTGGTGCCATGCAGGCATAGCTCAGACATCCTGCAAGTGTATGAACTTCTACCAACCTTCGACGTGCTCAAAATCAAAACCAGGCGATATGATGACTTAAGCCTGTACCTTCTCTTCCTTGAGGAAAACGTGAGTGAGCTCAAATCGTACAAGTGCCTCAAAGTTCTGGAGAACCTGAAAGGCAGTGGGGAGAGATTTGACGCCATGCAGCTGCTGATGAACCTTGGCTCAATTAAAGTGGATGCTCTAGATGGCAAATCGCCCACTGCCAAAGGCACCTGTGGAAAGACAGCTGAAGCGGAAGTGGCAAACAATGCAACAGAATTAGAAGGTGAGGCTGCTTGGCGTTCTTTTCATTTCAGCAATTTATTGGCCATAAAATCCGTCAGAGTTCAGTGAATTTGAAAATTCTACACTTAGGTGTTGAATCTCTTTCAGCCTAAGCACCAAATTGTGTTTCATGCAAACATAGCAACAGAGCGAGTCAGAAGGGGTCTCCCAGGCCATCTAGTCTGACCCCCGGCTCTAGCCAGCTCCAATCACACTCTGGGAGGCTGCATTCCAGTTGTGGACAGAGCCAAAGGCAAAAAGGACAAGACAAAAATTTATTAATTGACTTTTAGGATGCTGTTGTTTTTGTATTTTTTTAAATCATTTTGTATTGTTAAACCATCCTGAGACTTCACTAATGAGTTGGTCTACAAAAGTTTTAAATAAATAAATAAAATAAAAATGCAAAAATCCCCAGCATTATTTAAAGTAAAATAAGAATAAAGCTCTTACTTCCAGTAACTATGTCCTAGAAGACTTACTATAGCCTTTCAGAATAGGGAGGGAAAGACACACAAAAGCTGGGGAAGTGTCAAATCATGGGTGGTTGCAGTCGAAAAGGTGGTCCGTGGAATGGGAATAGCCAAATAGCCTAGAAAGCCAAATTGGGACCCCCAGGTGGGCCAGCTTTGGCCTGTGAGCCTGAAATACTGTGCCTCAGAGGAGTACACAAAAGCAGTACAAACATCTGCAGATTGCTTGGAGTGGTGTAGTGCTTGGGCTTGGACATGCATGAGACCCAAATGTTCCAAATTAATAGCCTGATCCTACACATGTTCACTGGGAAGTAAGCCCTGTTGAATTCAGTGAGACAGATTTGCAAAGAAATCTGCAAAGGACTTACAAAGGACTTACAACCCTAACAGTAAAATCCATCCTTAGTATTACTAGAACACACCTGTTGGCATCAGTGAGATTTTGCTTAGTCGTGACGGACAAGCCCCATTGATTTCAGTGGATCTATTATATAGAGGACTAAATCTCTGGATCCAGTCTAATATCTTTTACTTGTAAATTCCAGCTCACTGCAACCTAATATCTTTTACTTTTAAACACTGTCAGTGTGCCAAAAAGTCTTACACACACGAACACTTTCTTCCTGTGCATTGCCTAAAGCACCACAAACATAGTTTCGACTTAGGGGGTTGGGAGCACACACACACCCCAAAAGCAAACATCTTTGGTCACCGGGTTTCAGAAGAAGCACAACTTTTTATTTGTGATTATACAAAAAGCATAATAGTATGCTTGTCTTTGTTATTGTCCTTTGGATTTCAGATTTGACAGGACAAAAATCAGAGGAGGAGGAAGAAAAGACCGTTAAAGATGGAAAGCTTCGGCAGAGGCTTCTTGATTCTTCTTGCTGATAGAACCAATGGGTGATTTGTTGATTATGACAGTTCTTCCTACACCATCCAGCAGATGCCTTATTGAACACTGGACGACTGTCTCCTTGTTGAGGGTGCAAAAGCCTGAAGATAAAGGCAACATTTACAAGCTATTTATATGACAGTGTTTACACGCCTGTGAAAACAGATGCCATAGCAGTGATTTGCATTAACTCTATTAGAGACAAATCATGGGAAAAAGCTAAAGTCCGTAATGTAAATAGGCTAGAGACAGAAATAGACTGGGAGCAGTAAACAACTTGAAGTTAAAAGGTGTGACACAAGTTGTCTGTTGCATGTATGCATGAATATCCGTCACCCAGTTATTCATCATTCTCACCCATTTGTTCATTTAACTCTCTACCCTGAACCTGGTCACAGTAGATACAACAATTTAAAAAAACCCAAATTATAGTTACATTTACAAATTATCATTGTGTAAAGATATAATTAAACAGTATCAGCTAGAATGGACAGCTGTGCACAAAAGAGTATAAATAAAATAACCCAATTGCAGTTTAAAACTAAACAAGAAAACAAACTAAGCTGAGGATGGGAATAGAAATCACCCAACATATAAGTGAATAAAATATCACTACCTGTATGGTTAAAGAGATCTGCATTTCAAAAAGGCAAAATGAGGTTCCTCATAATTAACCTCCACAAATTGGGTTGAGAGCTGTACATCTCTTGTGCACAGCAGCTTCCCAACCAGCTCAGACCTGACTGATCCCTTTCAGTCTTTATCTTCCCCAGGTGAGAGATGAGGAAGGTACAGATTGCCGCTCCTCCTTCAAGCCCCACATACACGCATGGATGTTGATATTTCTCGGTTTCTCCCCTTGAGGCAACCTTCCAGCACTGCCTTCAAGTCAAGCAGGCTCTGTCGGATATGGTAAGGATGGACAGGTCAAAATCCTGCCTTGATCCTGGTTCTCACATGCATGTGGGCACTTGGATTCTCTGTGCTTAATTACTGTATCCTTGAAAACAAACTGTTGAACCATGAGAGCACTTTAATTGCAGCCCGTTCATTGGCTTCAATGCAATCACACAGAATAAAGGTGGCAGGGGATGCTGTGCTTGGATGCGCCCTTCCCCACTTGAAAGGCTCTTCGATAGTTTTACGCTATGTTACATATTGAAACAAATATGCACACCTGCTGCAAATATGCAAAAAAATATACCTGCTGTTTCTACTACAGACCACTAACCACCCCATGATAACATGAGCTGTGGGGGTACTGCAAGCAGAAGAGGTATAATCTCAGATTCCCCCACTGTCAGTTCTTTTATACTGGTACTTTTTACTCTTACTTTGGCTGTGGTGTGAAATGTTCAAGGTGCAGATATGCAGAAGAGCCATCTGTGATTCATCAAGGAATTTTCTGTGATCATTGTGGAGAATAGGTAGCAATTGTCAGTATGTTTCTAGGGAAGCGATACCGTAAGGGCAGTCTGAAGCCTGAGCATGACAAGCTTACCATTTGGGGAAGATACCGAAGACCAGTCCGTGCCTATTCCCCTGTGGCAGTTTCTTCAGGGCTGCTCCCTTCCTTTGCTTCAATGACCAGCTTTGTGTGTGTTTCAATACATGTGCACTAATTCACATCCAGGCAGCAAATATTTACTAATGTTGATTGAAACAAATAGCCATGTGCTTCGAGATGGGCAAACGCTCCACTTAAATCAGAAATGCAGCATCAAAAAACATGGTGGGACAAGAAGTTTTTCTGAGAATTCTAAATTAGATCCTAATGATAGTAATTTCATGGGTCCTTTCCGGGCTGCATATATATCCTTGGTATATCCTTCAGCCAGCCCTACTATTGGATAAAATGAGATGTTTTTGCAGCTGAGCAAATTTCAGGAGGTTGTGAGGCAACAATGAAGTTCTAGAAAGCAGAACTGTTCCTGGGCCAGTGCTGAAGCAAGATTCAACTTCTAGTCTTCCACTGGTGCCTTCTGTATATTTTGGATTTCAGCTCCCATCAGCCCCAGCCAGCATGACTGATAGTCCAAAATTCTAGGAGTTACGGCCCAAAGCATCTGGACAGTGCCAGGTTGCAGAAGGCTGGTCTAGTTGGTTTCTATGCACAAAATGGGATTGGGGCTACCATTTTGTGTTTCCCCTTCGGACCAAAGTGTTTTCACTGGTCCTGCTGCAGTGCTGCTTGGGGTTAGGGCTTAGTGCATTTTTCTTTTTCAGACAGCTAGGCTCACTGGATAAAAGCTAATTTAAGCCCTACTTAGAGCATTCCCATTGTAATGCATTGGACATGCTAACAAGAATTAACTTACGTCACATTTGTTTCAGTGATATAATTCTTAAAGCACGCTTTCATGGTTCCTGGTACATCTCTCAGTTTATGGATTATTTGCTTGAGTCAGGACCCAGAGGCCATGGTATACTGTAAAACCAAGCTATTGTGCAATGACTTGCGTAGCCATGTTTTTCCACAAAGTGCAAATGCATTTCAGCAGTCACTGAACTTGCCACAAACACAAGTGTTGCATTTCTGAGCTCATACACCTGCTCAGTCCACATTCTTCTAAGTAGGTGCATAAGCTTCTAATGTCCTCAGTTTAAATCGCAAGTGGAGCAGCTCCTGTAGAAAACATTAGTTCATTGCAAGTTCATATTCCAAGTCCTGTTATTTTTGAACTTTGGAAGCATTGCTAGAAATAGGAAGAGAAGGGTAGCAAAAATGGTGAGAGACCTGGTGATTGGGATTATGTGAGAAAACATTGGAGGAGTTTGCTGTGTTTAACCAGAAGAGATGATAGCACTCTTTAAGTAGTTAAAGGGCTGTTACATAAGACAATGGGGCAAGTTTGTTTTCTCTTGCTCCTGTGGGTTCAAATGACAAAGGAACAAGATTTTCAATAAAGAAGGAATTCCTGATAATGTGAGCTGCTCCAATGAGAGCACACTGCCTTAGAAAACAAAACCAGTTAGACTATGTGGCCTTTGAGGACCCTTTCCAACTCTTTAAGACTGAGAATTCAGCAGAACACTGTAATAGGTCGAAACTTGGCCTTAATGCTACCAATTGTTGCCTTCAACATTCAGAGCCGATACTTTTTAATGCAACAGTGTGGCTATTAACTTTTTATTGAGAACATTTGCTAAAGTCTTTGTATTTTTTTAGATCTTGTCTTTCTTCTGTGATAAAGGGGAAAGCACCTAGATCAGTGGTATAACGCATGTTTTGCATGAAGAAGTTGGAAGTGCAAGTATCTCTGGTAAAGGAACCCTTTTCCCTGGTTCAGGGATTTGAGATAAGAATATACTTTGTGTATGATATGGCCATGTATGTTTAGTACATTAGAATTGCATGGAATATTGCAGCAGAAGAAAGTAAGTGTTGACGTGAACAGCCCAGTAAGCTTTGGCTCTTAGGCAGTACAGAAAAATTGTAAGTAAAATCCACATGGGAAGTTGACAAGTCAAAGTGTTTAACTGTGCTGACCTCTTTAATAAAGTGTCTACATGTGCAGTGTGGCAACAGTTAACCCTGTGAATATGTTACTGTGTTCTGTCTTCATTCCAAGCAGAATTGTATCAAATGACCTGGACTAAGTTCCTTCCCATTTCACAGAAGTGGCACATGAGTCAAATGTTCTGCCATGAGGAACAGTGACTGATTTTATTTATTGGTTAGTTCTCAGTAATAAAATCAATGCATTCATAATTAATACGCCTTAATATAATAAAATCTGTAAAGGAAATCATATCGCCTTTTGACTTTGGTGTTTTGTTTTGTTTTTTTAAGGGAGGGGGATAGGATTATTTAGAGTCCTGGGTTGGAGGTCCTTTTACCTCCATGCTTGAACTTGGATGGCCAACAAGACCCTTGGCTGCTGGATGCCTCTTCAAGGGCAGAATTACATTTCAGAGAAGGGTAGAAAGGCTGTGCCAAGGAGAGGTGGTGGCCAGATGTCTAACCCTGGCTATTTCTACCAGCACATCAACCTCGTTCCCTCCCTAGTGCTTTGCCCACATGGCTGAAAGAGCCATCTAGGTAACACGCACAGGGCACGGCACAGCAGCAGTTGAGAAAGCTTTGGGCATGCCCTACTCCCGGCACTGGATGCACGTAAACCTCCCATTTCAGAGGGTCACACACATCTGGAACAGAAGCAATAGGATTGCACCCTAAAAGTACAATCCTGTGTGTGCTTAGACAGGCAAAAAAAGCCTACAACTGCCAGCATTCCCCAGACAGCCCTTTTGAGGTGCAGACAAGCAGAACACCAAACCCTATTCCAAAAATACAGACCTATCTAGGAGTCCTAGAAAGCATTTACTTTTCATAATTCTTGGACATCAGCTAGATACTTGGGACCATTTCAGAAAATCACACAAAAAAATAAGGAACAAAGGAATTTCTTAGAGCTGCATGTAAATAATCACTTCCTCTATTTCTAATATTAAAGGTGTGGGTGTTGCTCACGTAATCAAAACTGCACCATCCAGGCACAAAAGGGAAATTACTAGCAGGCTTGGTGAAACCCTGGAGTTTCCAGAAGTTAAAAAAAACCTTAAGGAAAAAGTAAGGGGATACCCCAAAACAGAGTAATGTGGACTGAGCATGCTCCATGGGCACAGAGGTGGCTGACTGCTGGGGTGTGGAAAACTGGGTGGGAGGTGGAATGAGGGGGGCTGGATGGAACGGTAAGCAGAAGCCCGCCACGTTGCAACCTTTCATTGCAAACTCCACTTGTGAGCTAGCATTTTTTGTAGGCGTCTTTCCTGGGATTGATAACCAAAGCATTCCTTGTGAAGGAAAACAGCAACCTTCCAAGATTTAACAGGCTCATGCATGGATGCATGCATAAAAGCCTCTCTGTGCCAATGGTCCACACTCCAGTGAGGATTATTGAGCAAGAATGTTCTGGATTTGTTCCTCCTCTTCAGCAAGGCAACCTGCTTGTTTTCCTGCCTCTTTGGCCCATAAAAAGGTGGTGGGGAGAGGGAGGACTTGCTTCTCTGCCTGTCACGCATACAAGTGGTAAAGATGAGAAAGAAAATGAGGAGCTATAGCAGCTGGTGGCCGTGACAGAAAAGGGTCCATTACTTGGAAGGGGCCCACGGAGGGTGTCTTGCCCAAGTGCCCCCAAAAACCTGGAGCCAGCACTGACCTGGTGTCTCATAAGGACTGTGGGAACAGACTGCTGAACCAGATACTGTAGGTCTTGGTCAGTTTCATTGGAACCCTTCTTAGGTTGATCAATATCTAGCTCCACAAAAGGCAGGAAAACTTCAGATAAAGCAGATAATACAAAAACTTGAATTCATAGTTCTTTGGATCTCACCCAGTGTGTCACTGGCAAACATTACAATTTAGGCTATTGCAGCAAAATTTATGCAGCACTTGATAATCAAAATGTTCTTTCCCTTAGCTGTTATCCAGAAAAAACCCTCAGAAGCTTTCTCAGGTGATTAGAAAGCATAATGATGACGACGGTGAACAAGAAATTATGATGATGAAGGTGAACAGGAAAAATTACAGGGAAGACTCATAAGAGGAATGGAATTCATAGAAATAACAATGAATATAGACCTGAGAGCATTGTATGTGCCAGCAAATGCATGATAATACTCAGCTCTCAACAGCACCAATCCATGCATAACAATCTGCAGGAAATTTCCCAGGGGGAAGGGAGGGAAGCCGCACAGCAATTTGCAAACATAACTTGAAACACAATTTCCTTGTTTCTGCTCTTTGTGGTTCAGCATCACATTCCACAACATATGAAGCCAACAAGGAGGAGAGGATTCTGCGAATTGAACAGGACTAATGTAGAAGAGTATTACATTCAAGAAGCATCAAGTACCCCAACAAAACTCATTTGGAATTTATTTATTACACTAACGTGCCATACCCTTAGCCAAAAGGCTGAGCTCCTTACAATGGTATAGCAATAAAACACAGCAGGTGAATGATGGGAGTTGCAATTCTGACACATTTGGGGGGGGGGACTACTAATTGATATTATTTCTCTTGGACTTTTTCCAACTCTATTTTTTCATTATTAATAATAATATTTATTTAATTTCTATACTGCCCAACAGCCAAAGCATTCTGGACAGTTCACAAAATACCAATCTGTTGCTTTTCTGTGCAGTGGTAGCTACATATTCTTGGATTACATAGAAATGTTGCAAGTAAATATATACATTGGGAAAACAGGATTCTGCATTTTAGTCGCGAACTAGCCTTCTCCCTGCATTTAACAAGGAGGCAGTGGCTGGGTGGAAAAGGAAACAATATTCCTTCTAATGGGCTATAGAAAGCAAGACCTTATGAACACCTCCATTTTCTAGTCTGAGAAAAAGAAAAAATCTATTACATCCATTTAGAGCCACACATTTCACACACAGTATGTGTTTATCAGCCCACAAAAACCATTTAGTCATCAGGAAAATGGATTAGTCACAGCTAGATGCCTTTTCTAGTGGCTCTATATTTTGCAGCATTCCAACAAGCAATTAGTACAGAACACTTGGAAAAACAGACAGATCAACTGGCAGCAGAAAATCCATGCCTACGTGGACTAAATCCCTGTCAGCCAGTGCTGCTTCTCGCCCATGGATGTGCCTATAGAATTGCAGCCTGAATTTTGTTTTCTTCTTCCATAGGCTTCATCTAGTTTTCTCTCTCAACCGCTTTCTCCACCCAGTTGTGTTGGACTACAACTCTCATCATGTTGGAAATGATGGAGGTTATAGTCCAGCATGATTGGAGGTCAACATGATAGAGAAGGCAGGTTTAGAACATGCTGAAAGGGTTTCTTTCTCTAGGAATGCAGTCAGACAAGCACTGACATTGAAAAATAAAAATAAAAATTCTGTCATGAGACGCTCAGCAGAGGACAAGAGACACACTCACTCCTTATGACTAGAATATTCATTTTTAATGCAATGGATCAATGTTTTGTCCTGTGATTCAACAGGGGGGTGGGGGTTAACAAATGTGTGTGCACATTCTTTACAAAAACAAAGCTGGGGTTGGATCCAGACTTAGCCATGCCTGGAGTAGCCCCACTGAAATCAACAGAATTCAAGTTAGTCACAAGCAACTTAAGTCCCATGCATTTGAATTTATCTACTCCAGATGTGGCTAAATCTGCATCCAACCCCTGGAATGTTTCCTCAAATGAACAGAAAGTAAAAAACAGTTTACAGCATTTGCAACTATGAGACTATGAAGACTATGATGCCTTACGACACATCAAACATTTTGTTATTATATTTATATCCCATCTTTTTCCTTTTCCTCACAACAATCCTGTGAGGTAGGTTGGGCCGAGCGCCTGTGACTGGCCCTAAATGACCCAGTGAGCTCCGTGGCTGAGTGGGGATTCAAACCTGGATCTCCCGAGTCCCAGATCCACACAGGAAATGATCACACCACACTGGCTCTCTTGCCCATCTATACCCAGAAGTTCCAGCTCAGACTGGCAGCAGGACTCCATGGGACAAGACTGATTTTTCCCCAGCCTCTGCTACCTGGTTCTTCTTTCTCAGTAGAGATGCTCGTTGACCCACTGGGCTGTGGGGCACCAAGTTGCTTTGAACCAGCTGCAGTAGTTTCTATCAGCCTTGCCCAACCTGTGGCCCTCCAGGAGCATTGCACTGCCACTCCCATCATCCCCAGCCAGCATCACCAATAACATTGCTCGCCTTGACATGTAGGGTTGGATTTGAAGGCCACCCTCATGACCAGCCTGAGTGGCAGGTGATAAAGGTCAGCGGCAAAGTGGCTGCCATTAGCACCTTGGCCGGCACAGGTGCACTGGGATTCACTGGAGTCAATGCAGTTCGTCCTAGTTTTGAAACCATGCCGTCCTCAAGGGGCAACTAGCCAGGCATGTGCATGATTCCAAATGTGGCTTGCACCATTTTACTTTAAAACTGTACTATCCTTTTCTGCAATTAAACAAGGGTGTTTATTTCCAAGCAAGGGTGTTTAGCATTATGGAAGCAGAGGTATCATTTTATCTCTGTAGTTATGATAGCACAATGAACTAGACAGTGCAGATGCTCTGAGTATTTTTTTGTTTTTTAAGTTAAGCTCGACAAAGTATTTGTGTGTAGGGGGAGTGGGGCATGATTGGCAGCATTTGGCAAACAGGACTTGTAGCCATAGGCAGTCTCCTCCATTAATTTCAGATTCTGCAAGTGGAACTCCCACCATCCTTTGCATTTCACATAAGTCATGTGGTGGACTGATCCAGGGCTGTGGTGAAGAAGGAGGGATGCTAACACTTTCACCCTGAATCATTTGACTGTGGACAATTGCATCACCTTCCATCTCCTGCAGTTATTTTCCCACTGGTAAACTCTACAAACACAAAGCTATGTCTGCAGGTTTAATCAACTGGGACACATAGCTTCTTTAGGGAAATTTTTAGTAGGAAAACACAAGGCATTAAAAAACACAAAAACAAAATCCCACAGTCCCAATCTGGAGTGGGGTCCCACTGCAGCATGATGGATCCACCAAATCCAATATTGTGTGTTCGGATTAGCAGCACTTCTTCAAGATCTCAGTAGAGGAACTTCACATCACTTGTTAATGAGAACATTATAGAACGTTGTTGTTGTTAGTCGCGAAGTCGTGTCCGACCCATTGCAACCCCATGGACAACATTCCTCCAGGCCTGTCTTCCACCATCCCCCGGAGTCCACTCAAGCTCACACCAACTATAGAACATTATAGAACATTATCTCACATAATGAGAACATTATAGAAAGAACTTCCTTTCTTATAACTGTTACACAGTAGTTCCTAGTATGAGCATTGTTTGCAACGCTATCTTCAAGACAAATTTTCAATTTAGAAGCACATGTCCAAATGAATTGTTAGCTAATTTCAGCCTTGGTGAAAGAACCCAAGACTCTGGAAGAAAACAAAACACTCAACACTGTGGATTGCTCATACATGTTTTTTAATTTTTTAAAAAAGTTTACACTTCTGAAAAGGGAAATTGTCCCAAGAGGATGGTTGGATGGACACACTCACAACACAAAGTCGATCACCACAATTTTGAATTATTTTTAAATGTGTACCTACCCCTTCATGCTTTCAGTGACATTTCCTCACAGCATATGCACGTAAGACTAGGAACAGATCTCAGTAAGCCCTGTGTGTGGCTTCGGGAAATAGCCAGACTGCAATGAGTTCAAGGGAGTGGGCATGTTCCTCTTTAGCAACAGCTTCTCAGAGCAAACCTTTTCTGAAACTGAGGGGCTTGAAAAGTAGTGCAAAAGATGGCATGGCAGCCTACTGCATAGCAAAATATGCAACAAACACATGCGAACTCTTGCATGCCCCCAACATGTTTGATTCTGGCCAATATAACCTAATGCATGTTCACTTGCTACAACCACACACACACGCAAGTCTGACCTGCCCCTTTTTGAAAATCTTTGCAACTCAGATTGACAACGTGGGAGAATGCATTTTCAGTGTGACATTTTATTCATCAAAATATGTCAGTGGTGGGTCTTTGTAAGTTAGACCCTTTATTCCTGAAAGGCATACACACACACACACACACACACACACACACACACGAAACATGCACTGTCATCTTAGAGAGAAAGCAACTATTTTAAAATCTCAATTAGTAATTCATAAATGGTAGTTGCTGATGTCTATAGTCCTGTTTTCTCCTAAAACAAACATTTATACTGCTGTGTCGAGAGAATAGGTTTTCTCTATCCATTCCTCCCCTTGGTAACATAGCATGGTCAAGGTTCCTTGGCAACTGGTATAAAACTAAAGTCTTCCCCAGATCAGAAATGGAGAACACACAGTCACAGTCCTATAACTGCTAGAACTATTTAGAGCATGCATATATAGTTCCATGGACAGTGCCCAATGTAATGCTACCACTAATGTAAATTAGGCTGTTGTCACATAAATGACCTCTAGTGGAAGGAAAACAGCCTTCCTGGGATGACAGCTTTTCTGGGGAAACTTGTTACATCAGCAAATGTAATTTACATTAGAGGCAGGGTCAGGTTGGATGCTGCCACACGGCTGAATTAAAGCAAACCATGTATTTTTCAGAAGGCTTCAAACCAATGACTAGTCCTTTTTGGTGTTCTTGTGCCCATACCTACTTTCTCCTGGCACTTGAGTCTTAGCTTAGACTTAAAGTTTAGACTAAAATATGCAGGGGAGGCATATTTGTTTCTTAAATGCTTACACAGGGGTAAATGGTCACCAACACCCAACTCTATTCTGGCTGATAGGTGTGACACACAAGGAGATTGAGGCTTCCCTCCCTCCCTCCCCCATTCATTCATTTACCTTTAAAGAAATACCTTAAAATAAAGAATCAAAGGAAAAAATGCAGATATTGTAGCTACTTTTCTTCTTAACAGCAGCATAATCAACAGCCTTTATTTTGCTTCTATGTTTACTAAGACCAATCCGAGATGCTTAAAAAGAAAAAATTAGCACAAGTCCATTCAAAATCTTGATAAAATATACAAGGGAAGAAAAAGAAAGAATTTACAAAAAATCCAATATTTAACTGTTCCACATTATTCTTGGGTCTCCTATTTGCTTCTCCAGGGCTATTAAAGTCCTTATAAAAATACAATAATCTGTGTATGGATGCTCTATGTGAAAATACATTGCATTACTTAAAATTTACCAAAACCAACAAGGATCTTAAGAACTATGCCCTAAATTACAATGCTAAAATGTATCTATACGAACTGATTTTTCTGACTCATGAATGTAATTTGGGCAGAAATACAGTAAAGGGAAAAAAAGGCATGTTGGATGAACTTTGGCATCTTATTCATATATTATTTATCCATATACTACCTCAGTGATTACTTACTACCTATATTAAAAGAGAAGCCAACTGCTTAAGCATTCAACCAGCTCATCAAAAAGAGTCATTTTTTAAATTTTTAGGAAAGCATCCTATGTATAAGCTGACTATAAGCTATCAACCCAAAGTAGGGGGAGGCAATTTGTGATCCCCTATGCTTTGGGTACAAACCTCAACAGCCCTAACCATTACGGCCAAAAGTCAGAAAATGACAGGAATTACAGGTCGAAACCTTTCATATGCCACATATCACCCAACCCTGGCCTAAAGCTATGTACACGTTTTAAGGCCCCTTTTAGCAAATCTTAAATGTTATGCTCAAAGAAGGAGTCTATATACCCAAGTACTTAGCGGGCCCTTCTTAAGCAACCAGTAACATTAAAACCACTGAGAAGATTTAAGTTTCAATACTAAACAATGTCATCTCAGACAAAGAGCACTTCCCCTTTTAACTAAAGTATAAGGGATAACAAAACTGAAAAGCAAGAGCACTTAAAAATAGTAAAAACAAAACATTTAAATGTTTCTCAGCCACAGGGCAAAAATACCTAGCTGTGTGAAAAAGGCATTTCATTAGCTTCCTGGACTTTTTTCTTTCTGTAAAGAGTGAGAGGAAGGAAGTTTGGGCTCCGGAAGCTACCATTTCCACTGGGTTGAATGCAGAGTTGCACCTCCATCCTGGGGAGGGACCAAAATCCAGCAAGGAGTCCTGCTAGAGGGTAAGGAGAGGCAATTTTTGCAAATTCCCAACTGCCTGCACTATTCCAGATTACTAGAGATTTCCAGGAGGCACTGTATCTGCAGGGAAAAGGAACTTGCAAAAATCACTTCCACTTCTTCCCCTTTGTTCAGTCTCCTGTGTTTTCATGCACTTCCAGTGATATTGCATGTTTCAATTCTCCACCAAGGAACCAATGGATTTTAAGGTCATATGTAACAAACAAGGACATATGTAACCACCAAACGATTTGGAAAAAAAAAACCCTTGCATATCTTAAGGTAACTGCAGAATTTTGGGAATCATCATCTGTTTCTTCTTGAAGTTGAAGCACTCTTGAATAAATCCTCCTGTAAATGAATAATATTTCATTAAGAAACCAGCAGTGTTATATTTTCAAGCAATCCAGTTTGAACAGATCAGCATGAATACAGAACCATTTATTATGGAATCTGACCTCCCAGTAGAATTCTTGACTATGGCTCATGTCAGGAATTGGAAAATTAAACTCTGTGCTTCACGATTTCACTTTCAGAATCAATCAGCAAAACAATAATATTAGTTTAGAGAAATCTGACACTCCTGAGACATTAGTTTCTGATACAAGTTAAACCTCTCAGAAAAGTGAGGCGTTCTGAGAGATCCTTGACAAGATTTCTTTTCTTTATATAATTCCTTGGAGTGATGGACCATACCTGTGAAATCTACAATTTACCCTGATGACCAAAACAAACGAAAACAAATAACTAGCTGGTAGTATTGTTTATTTTTTTAAGAAAGAGCAGTTCACTAATGCCCAAGTCACTGCTGAACGTTGTGGGTCTGCTACCCCTAGCAGAGGGTCTTGCTATCAGAGAATCTCATCATATGTTCTTGTAGCAAGGATAGTAAGCATGAGAGGTGCAGTTCAAGCGATGGTTCTAGACTGGTTATCAATGGCAGTGCGCAATTCTTGCTGGCACCTGCCAAAAAAATTCAGTGCACATGCGTGTGGTTTATTTACCATACATGTAAGCCAGGGACAGGCAACCTTTGGCCCTCCAAGTTTCCTCAGGTTGCCGTGCCCCCTTCCCACAACCAGCAATTGTTAAGATGGTTCCTTGGCTTCTGTGCAGTTTTCCTCATTTTGATTGGTCAACATGCCTCACTTAAGGCTTAGCTACTGGTAGTAAGAGTCTATATTTAGCATATGCTATTACTTTTAGAATGTTTGATCCTCCCCTTTTTGCCTCTGGCCTCCCCGCCACTGGAATGGGCTCTATAAGTCCTTCTCTTGGGAACTGCATCTGAAAGTCATTATATGCTTTTTGGCGCCAGGTCAAGACCTTTTTATTTAATCAATATTTTAATATGTTTTAATGGGAATTGAATTTTATTGTTTGTATTTTATTAATTGCAGCCAGAGTGGAATTATCAATTTATCTATTTTATTTTGACTTATGTTGCAAGATACACCCAATATAAAGATAAAGATACACCCAACTGAATGCAGAATTCCAGAGAATAGCTAGAAGAGATAAGAATGCCTTCTTAAATGAACAGTGCAAAGAAATAGAAGAAAACAATAGAATAGGGAGGACCAGAGATCTCTTCAAGAAAATTGGAGATATGAAGGGAATGTTTCATGCAAAGATGGGCATGATAAAGGACCAAAATGGCAGGGACCTAACAGAGGCAGAAGAGATTAAGAAGAGGTGGCAAGATTACACAGAAGAACTATACAAGAAAGAGCTTAACGTCCCTGATAACCACGATGGGGTGGCCACTAACCTCAAGCCAGACATCCTGGAATGTGAAGTCAAATGGGCCTTAGGAAGTCTGAGCAACAACAAAGCTAGTGGAGGTGACAGTATTCCAGCTGAGCTATTCAAAATCTTGAAAGACGATGCAGTAAAAGTGCTACACTCAATATGCCAGCAAACTTGGAAAACTCAACAGTGACCACAGGATTGGAAAAGGTTAGTCTACATTCCGATCCCAAAGAAGGGCAATGCCAAAGAATGTTCAAACTACCGCACCATTGCACTCATTTCACATGCTAGCAAAGTGATGCTCAAAATCCTACAAGCTAGGCTCCAGCAGTATGTGGACTGAGAACTACAAAAAGTACAGACAGGATTTCGAAGAGGGAGCGGAACCAGAGATCAAATTGCCAACATGGAAAATCATGCTGGATCATGGAAAAAGCTAGTTAGTTCCAGAAAAACATCTACTTCTGCTTCATTGACTATGCTAAAGCCTTTGATTGTGTGGATCACAACAAATTGTGGCAGGTTCTTAAAGAGATGGGAGTACCAGACCATCTTATTTGTCTCTTGAGAAACCCATATGCAGGTCAAGAAACAAGAGTTAGAACTGGACACGGAACCACTGATAGGTTCAAAACTGAGAAAGGAGTTCAGCAAGGCTGTATACTGTTGCCCTGCCTATTTAACTTTTATGCAGAGCACATCATGAGAAAGGTGGGGCTAGATGAATCACCAGTTGGAATTAAGATTGCCGGGAGAAATATCAACAACCTCAAATATGCAGATGATACCACTCAAATGGCAGAAAGTGAAGAGGAACTAAAGAGCCTCTTAATGCAGGTGAAGGAGGAGAGTGCAAAAGTTGGCTTGAAACTCAACATTAAGAAAACTAAGATCATGGCATCTGGTCCTCTCACTTCCTGGAAAATAGATGGGGAAGAAATGGAGGTAGTAACATTTTATTTTCCTGGGGTCCTAGATCACTGCAGACAGGGACTGCAGCCAAGAAATTAAAAGACGCTTGCTCCTGGGGAGGAAAGCTATGGCACATCTAGACAGTATACTAAAAAGCAGAGACATCACCCTGCCGACAAAAGTGTGTATAGTCAAGGCTATGGTTTTCCCAGTTGCAATGTATGGTTGTGAAAGCTGGACCATAAGGAAGGCTGAGTGCCAAGAGATTGAGGCCTTTGAATTGTGGTGCTGGAGGAGACTCCTGCGAGTCCCTTGAACTGCAAGGCGATCAAACCGGTCAGTCCTAGAGGAGATCAACCCTGACTGCTCTTTAGAAGGGCCAGATACTGAAGATGAAACTCAAATACTTTGGCCACCTAATGAGAAGGAAGGACTCCCTGGAGAAGAGCCTAATGCTGGGAGCAATAGAAGGCAAAAGAAGGGGACGGCAGAGGATGAGGTGGCTGGATGCAGTCACTGAAGCAGTTGGTGTGAGCTTCGGTGGACTCCAGGGGATGATGGAGGACAGGAAGGCCTGGAGGAATGTTGTCCATGGGGTCGCGATGGATCAGAGACAACAACAACAAAGCCCTATTCTATATTAGTTACACACTGGGGTTTTAGGGACTCTTGTAAACTATCCAGGGAACATAACTAATGGGGCAGTACAGAAATGAAACAAATAATAAATCTGAAAATGCAAGCAAGCTCTTTCATTAAGAGAATTAAACAGCTGTTGCCAGGTTTGAGCAGGTCTATCTATAGGCAAAGTCTGGCAGTAGTCACTCCTAAAGCAGAGTCATATGATAATCTGGAGAAGCAAAAGCAGAATAGTGTTCACCAGGGAACAGAGATGGGTGCCTCCTTGTATGTTTGTTGGAATCAAGTAATACGTTTTTAGGAAGTTAATGGGCAACTCCCAGCATTCCCAATCAGCAGCTAGCCATCACACTTTAAGCTTGTGTCTTTCTAGAACTTTTTGTCACCTTACTTCTTTCTCTTCCTGGCTTACAAACAAATGAAAACTTGCATGAATTGGACCACTGGAACGCAATAGGGAGAATTCTCAGAAGCTTATAGTTTTCAGTGTCTTTTTCACACAGAGGTTCCCTACTGTTTTGATCCTTTTCAGAGACAGTGGACAAATGGCATAAAATGGCCAATATTATGAAAACATTATGGAACAAGTAAACCAATGCAAAGGAATATAACACAAAACATTCTACACTGATATTTTGTATACTGGTTAGAGTTTGTTGAAGGAAATGCATACCTCATCTGAGTCAAAGTTTACTCCTCTTGATGCCAGGCTCTGTGAGTAGCTTTTACTAGATGCTGATGTGCTTGATAACCTAAATATTATAAAATGGATATGGCTGTCACCATCAACACAAAGCAGTAAAAATAATTAACTTTATTTACTTTCCAATGAACTTTCCAGTAATTTAACTTTATTGGAAGTCACCAATACTGCTTCCAGTTTGTTTCCAGGCCCAACTCAAGTGCTGTTTCTTACCAAGGTCCTAGATGACTGGGGAAGGATTAAGGAAAGTTTGCCTCTTCCAAAATGAACCTACCATAACTTATTGTCTCCTTATGAGGCTCTGTGCTCTGCCACCAATACAAGTTAGGGCCTTTTCTGGGATAGCACCCTGACTGAGGAGTTCCCTCCTTACAACAGATTGCTCTCCATCCTTAGCTTTGTGCATGTCCTGCCTTTGTTGCATCTTAATTTCAGTGGGTTTTAAATGTTCTCGTTCCTCCTGCTCCCTGGGATGGGATGGGATGGGCTACTGTGCGAAAAAGAGTGGAGGGGGACGGCCATATGGAATGTGGGCTGGTCCACCAAGACTGGTGCAAGCAGGAGGCTGTGCCTGGCGCCACCGAGGGAATGGCATGAGTGGTGGCGGCGGTGGCGGCAGCAGCAGCAGCAGCGGGGATAGAACTTCCTCCAGGGAAGACTGCTGAGAAGGAGCCTGGGAGGCTTGCTCAGGCAAACTCTAAGAAGGACCATGATGTACAGCTATTGGGAGGGCGCTTGGAGCAAGGGAGTTTCTCAGGGACAAACAAACCAGGTATGGCTCTCAACTCCATGACACAACGTCCGCAGAGCAGGGCTATTGAATTAGAGGATCAGTGTGCAGAAAGGAGGCATGCTCATTTCCAAAAGGCCCCTCCTAAAAGTACATGGCCCTGACATACTCATAAAGAAAATTTCTAGAAGTAAATATTAGATTATGTTCAACAAACTATTCTGTGCACTCTCACTGATTCATTCTGGATGACTGTGCTGCCGAAAAGCACTTTGGTGAATAAAAAACCTTTTGCAAGGAAGGGTCTGTGGCTTTCAATGTGCAAAGGGAGGGAACCTAGCTCACAACAGCTGGGGCTTGGGGAGTCAATGGAAGCACCCTCTCCAGCTGCCACAGCATACATTCATTTAAACTGATTAACTATTATTTCTGCATAGCTATTTTTTATTATTTTTCCTATGCCCAGTACATTCCCATTTCTCCTTCTTCAGCATGTTTTTTAAGCAACTTGTGAGATAGTGGAAATGATTGGACCAACCTTGGATTTGCAGTAGAAGATGGGGTAAATGACACTTCTTTTGAATCAGAGTCATCATCTTCAATTACCTAGAAGGGAGTACAGAATAATGGCATATACTGGTATTTCCAACACAAGGGAGATATAACATGTTTTTGTCATTCTGTTGCTTGCTCATTTTGTTATTGTCTTCTGCGTTTTTCAGACTGATGACCAGATGGAGCATGATGTTTTATTGCATTACAACCAGCCTTCCGTTATTTGGAAAAGTGTACATGCTAAATAAAAATGTCTACAATTTATGCCTGGCTTTGTTGCCCTAGTCAACTACTGCAGTTCCCAGCCTACATCACTGCAAGCCCCATCCCATGAAGGGAACACCCTGACTTCAGTGCTGCCACTCAAAGGTGCCCCAGCATGTCTGCATAGCTGTGTCCAAACCAATCCCCTTTGGCTTTTCTCAAGCGAAGGGCCAGTGAAGAGAGTAGGCAGTTGAGTGCCATTATTCTTCCACCCTTTCCTGAAGGGTTGTGGATGTTTCTGAGCATCTTTCAGAAGCAGTACCCAAACATTCCCACCCCTCCCTATCCTGGAGCAGGAAAGGAGGGCATTGCTGTTGCCTCTCGGTTTGGCCAAGGCTTTCCAGGTGCCTTGCCATGGATTTTCCAAACAGCCTTCTTCTGCACTTTGGAGCTGAAGACAGGGCAGGGACTGCCAAGTGACTGGTGGAATGATCTCCACCCACTTCTGCACTTGCAAAGGCAGAAGAATAGCTGGCTGCTTGTCACATTCACCAGATGGCAGCACCATACTTGCCATGGTGAGCGGAAGCCTTGTTAAATATACATGTGAAATATCTTTACATACAGAAGAAACTTGAAGATATATGTATATATAAAATAACTAACCACCTCTGAATAATTCTTGGCAGGCACATTTCGGGATGGCTGCTGCCTCGATGACTGAAAAGCTAAAATAAATCAGAGTAAGTAGCATTAGCGTAAGCTGTCAATATATACTAAGCTCTTCTGAAGAACTTCATATCCTAACATCCTAAGCAAAACAGAGATGGAAACAGTTTCCAATATCAAATTTGCAAAGTAAGCAACTGACAACACAAAGCATGCAAGCTTTGAATATGTATTTGAAAATATTGGTACAAAGACTGGGTTTCTGAGGGGCATTTCCAGAAAGACAACTCACTGGTATCTGATGCTTACAGATCATATGACGTAGATGCTTATGAAATATGCAGGGGAGGAGAGGGGGCAGAGGCAAGGATTCATGCAGCTTCAACCAGTGTGCTAAACAAAATGCTGGGGAAATATGCAAAGTAAAGTTTTTTTTAAAAAGAATGTGAAAGAACATTATCATCCAGAGCAAAGTAAAATTAGAGGTCCTTGACTAAGGCAGTGAGCAAAAGCAGTATATTCTAGTAGAACTGTTTCCAAAATGCTCTAAAGACATCCAATTAGTATATGCACAATTACTTAAGCACCAGGCATAACCATGGATTAGGCTAAATAATGTTTGCTGTTAACCAGGATATGAAGCTAGTTTCAAAATTCTGATCAACACTGAATCCCAGGTAGTCCTGTTGAACTAAAGCAGGGAAGGGACTGGTGAGAATCAGCTATTATCTCAGGGTCGTATTCCAATCCATTTTCCTTGGTTATGTGTTTAGGTATGCTATATATGCACCAACTACCTTCAGAGGCTAAAGGATTCTGATGAATTCTATAGGACTCTGAGGGATTTTCATGCTGGTATAGCCAGCACTCCTGTTAAACCACTGATGGCTGTATTTGGTGTTCTAGGCATAAACAGAACACCCCAGACAAAAAATTTGAAAGACAACCTTTACTGCATGAGTCCTCAAACTGTGGCCCGTGGGACGGATCCGGCCCATCATGCCCTTTCATCTGGCCCGTGCCGCTGTCTGCCAACTGCGCACGCGCTTGCTGCACATGGGAAGCTGTGGCTTGCTCACTCGGAGATGGTTTCGGATGGTTTCCCAGCGAGTCCAAAACCATCTCCGAGTGAGCGAGCCACCGCTGCCTGCCTCCTCCATGCATGTATGCTCGCCAGTGGCTCGCTCGCTCAGAGATGGTTTTGAACTCTCCGAGCGAGTCACCGCCCCACGCCCAACACCACCCTGCACACACCCGACGACGCCTCACTGGCACACGCACCCAGGTACCCCCTCCCCTCACCAGCCCGCGTGCGTAGCCGCCGCCTTCCAACTGGCCCCCTATTGAAAAAGTTTGAGGACCCCTGCTTTACTGAGTCACAATACACGTTCTTCAGGACTACAGTATCTCAACACAGGAGCTTTTGTTAATACAGTGGTACCTTGGCTCATGAACTTAATCCGTTCCAGGACTCCGGTTGTGACCCGAATTGGTCATGAGCCAAGTCAAATTTCCCTATAAGGTTCAATGTAAATAAGGTTAATCCTTTCTGTAACTATTTTTTTAATCAGAAAAATTTGAAGCAAAGTGACAAAGAACAACAAAGATTGCGGCCATCTCCCCCGCAAGCACAATCATGATCACGGCTACAGATGGGGGGAGGGGGGGAGCCAGGCGCAATCACGGGTACGCTTGGGTAGGAGATGGGTGCGATCGTGTTGGGTGGGGGGGGAGATGGTCGAGATCACAGTTGCGCTCATGCAGGAAAGATGGGTGTGATCTCGGCCATCTCCCCTCCCCCCAGCACGATCGTGGCCATCTCCCCACTCGGGAGGGGGGGATAGCCATGATTGCGGTCACCACCCAATGAGGAGTTCACGACCTGAGTCAAAATGTTTATGAAATTTTTGTTTGCAACCCAATTTGGTAGTGAACTGAAGCGTTTGCGAGCCGAGGTACCACTGTATGCGTTTTAGTTCATTACAGGCATTCTCTTGAACCTTTGTCCATTCACATTCCACCTCTGAACTAAAAGTTGTTTCAAGTCAGTTGTCAAAACAACACGTGCTTCAGTCAGTTATCTTGATATTAAACAAAGTTTCATCTTAAATCAATTAGGAGAATTAGACATAAAATCAAGAGCCACCATAGCACTGTGATTACAGTGCTAGACTAGGTCCTAGGTTCTAGCCCCAATTCAATCACTGAAGCTCATTGGGTGATTCTGGGCCAGTCATTGCCTCTCGGTTTAACCTACCCCACAAGGCTGTTGCGAGGCTAAAACAGAGAAGAAGAACCTGTAAGCTACCTTGAAATCCTTCCTAGTAAAAGACAGAATATGAAGATAAAATAAAAAATGCTGTAAAAAATCCATAAAAAATAAGAAAAAAAATGTTGTTCAAATTCAAAGACAATGAAGACACTACACTAGCCTCTATCCTGTGCATTTCCTAGCTAATACTTTTCATTCTAGCAAGTTATTTTATTTGCCAATGCCCTGTGGTGCCCTTCCTTTCTTCTAGTTGCTTAGAACCCTCATTCAAACTTGCGATTTGTAACAAATCAAGTGGAAGTACTGATAGGGGTATATACCTAGCAGTAGCTTCTACATGTAAAGGCTATTTATTTTACATAGAGAAGTTGCATACAGAATGGTCTATCAGCAGATACTATACAGGCAGACAGTAGGAATACATTTTCTTGAGTAACACCAGCTGTACAGTTAACTATCCTCCCCATCCTAAATAATGAAAGTTACCTCCCAGATGCTTAGTAATGGGAGGAATACCAATATCCCATTTCTTTAAAAGTGTTACTCATTATCATGAAAATATCATTTGTCAGAAACATAAACACAGGGATGAGACCGTTCAGCAAACCCAGATACCAACTCTGCTCCTCTCCATCTACTCAGGCAAGAAAATTACAACAAACCTAGTAACATTAACTGCAGTTTCAAGGGTTCTTTCCCATGCTCTCTTCCAATGCAGTCTGCATTCTACCACAAACAAGGCCTCCACTCAAAAAGAATGCACTGACAAAGATTTCACATCAGGAAAGGCAAAATTCAGAAAGTTGCAGGAAAATATTTCAATCTCTCAGGATACTCAGTTGATGATATGGAATGATCTACAGTGGTACCTCAGCTCACGAACTTAAGCCATTCCACGACTCTGGTCGCGACCAAAGTTAAATTTCCCCATAAGGTTCTATGTAAATAAGGTTAATTGGTTCTGCAAATTTTTTTTTATCACAAAATTTTGAAACAAAGTAACAAAGAACAACAAAGTAACAAAGTACAGTACAGTAGAGAACACTAACCTAGGTGGGGAGGGGGAGATTATTGTTTGGAGGGAGAGTCCAAACCATAATCGTGCGATAGCGAGCTGAAGGGGGGGGGGGGGAGACAGGCACAACTGTGATCACACTTGGGGGAGACGGGCGCGATCGAGTTCGTACGGCAACATGGCCACGATCATGGGCATCACCCAATGCGAAGTTCGCAAACTGAGGCAAAATTTTTCTGAAATTTCTGTTCGCGACCCGATTTGGTCATGAACTGAGGCATTTGTGAGCCAAGGTACCACTGTATTCCTGAACAAAGGAAATTCCAAGGGAGACACCAAGGTGAAACTGTTGCCTAACAAGTTAAAGAAATTTAGCTTTATTACTTATGGCATGAATTGAAAAAATGGGTTTCTACCCCACTGAACATTTTAATTAACAGAGCAACACAACAGTTCTTGTGTTATCAACAACACTGGTTGTGAATGTTCCCTGTGCTTATTCAGCATAATTGCCACAGAACATATTTTGTGCATTTCACCAGTTACACTTTCCTCCTATACCTATTTGCATGTGTGCATATTTCTGCCAAAGGAAAACAATGCTTCATGCACTAGTGATTAGATGAAGTATTTCCCCTGCATCTACAGCAGGCATCCCACTTAGAAATGGCCACATATGTAATTAATGGCACATCAAAACCATACCAAACAGAAGATTTTCTTACGGTACCATGAGAAAGTACAATAATCTTAGACATGCAAGTCAACTGCTATTACAGCAATTCACTTGTGTTCTGAACATACCATCTATGATAGACATATTCTTTATAGGTGTGGAGAGAGGCTTATATGTTCGACTGCTGTCTTGCTCAGTGCTTCCTGAAAAAAGAGTAAAACAGATATTCAGAGCTTATATTTCTTCACTTCAATTAGAAGGCCACCATTATACATTGACAGAGTGTACTATGTTTAGACAAGGGAGACCTGGGATCAAATATCCATTCAGTCCACTGCAGGTCACTATGTTTGCAATGCAATTAAAAATCATGGTTTTAAAAGTCTAATCCCAAGGTTGCCACCACATATTTCTGAATGTCTATCACTTCACAAATAGCAAAAGAAAGTGCTAACTTTAACCCTACCCCAGATTTCCACCATAACCCTAAACTGGGCACAATTCCCCATGCATCATACTGATTTCTAAAATCCTCACTTTCCAGAGTTCTTCCTGCAGGAGCACCTTAGTTTTTCTAACCCTAACCCTACCCTGGATTTCCACCATAACCCTAAAATCAGGTAAGATTCCCCATGCATCATACCAATTACTAAGCTCCTCACTTTCAGGAGTTTTTTCTGCCCAGATCATTGTATAGCACTCTCCCATGCAAAGGAAAAATATTGCATGACATTGCAAGCAACTTTTCCAAGAAAGTAAGTGTAAAAATACTATTGGTCCAGCTCTAAGCTTTGAAGGCACTTCATGTGCCTCTCACAAACCTAGCCACAGGAGCCTAGAGTTATGGATAAAGACCCAGGTCAAGAGCAGGCAACAATATGGGGCTTTTGGACCCATACAGCAAACTGAAAAATACCCTTGGCAGCACCATGAACTAACTGGCTGCCATGGGAAGCATGACAAGTGACTTGCTCAAAAACTGAATACGAATACTAAGCTGAATACTGTAGTTTCAGTTCACAGCTGGTGTGCAAATCACAGGAATCCTTCCTGATTTTAGGGTTATGGTGGAAACCCAGGGTAGGGTTTAGGTTAGGAAAACTAAGATGTTCCTGATGTTTCTGAGGGCTGGAATGCAATCGGAATGGCAAGAAACAGTGAGCTGGGCAGAACAATGAATTAAGAATACTGAAAGTTCTCTGGGGAGGCAAGATATAATAAAGCATAATCAGCTTTTAAGCTGTTGTGGTCAAGTGCAAGACTACTGGCCTGCTTTTCCTCGTCGAGATCGTCCTCTGGCTGTGACGTTCTGTCCTCTTCCGCCTCTTCCTCGACCTCTCCCTCTGCCTTTTCCCCAGCTCGGTGGTAAAGAATCATCTGAATCCTCATTAGCTCTTTGTTCAGAGGTGGCCAAGTCCATGAGGTCATCATCACTAGCAACAGAAGCATGGTCAGCTCCCTGGGATCGGTGGGCTTTGGCCCTGCTTAGAGCCTGAGAAAAATTAAACAGCCCACATTAAAGACGGAAGAATCACTTCTCACTTTTTGAGCAGAAATCAAAGTTTCATCTGCATCTAAGAAGAAAAACTTTAGTGTATGAAAAAAGTCATAAAAACATTAAAAGAAAATAAAATATTGAAACAAAAGCCAAAAGCATTATTACATACATTTTGGAAAGAACAGGAGCTATTATATTCATGATGAATATCTATTTCTTTAAAAACTTAAGCTAAGTAAAATACATTGGTGTGTTCAATTAATCACTTTTTCAAATTGCTCAGCTTATGGAAATTACCTCACGAACTTCCTCGTCCTCTTCCATGGTATTCTTTCTTCTTGACTCTCTGAAACATTTTACCTGCATCAAAGTGGTAAAAGGTGAATTATGGTCACCATGTAGTTTAGTTTTACAAAAACCAATTCCCTAACCCCAACTTTTTTTCTATCTTCTGCATGCCCTCTTCCTACCTGCCCTCCCTTCCTTCCAATCTCTTATTTTTTTCTTAAAGGCAGTTTGCAAGACCACTCAGCCTTTATTAAAAATAATAAATGGAGGAACATGTGAGATCACCACCTAAACTGTAAGGTGTGAACTCCATGACACACTGATGAATCCTGCAAGATACCCACAGCGAATAGGCCAGCAACAGCGTTGAATAACAAGATCAGATGTTCGTACCCAGGGGTAAATTTGGAATGCCCAAACATCCCTCAAAAGCCCTGCGGGGACGTTGCTCTATTTGGCTGAAGGCATGTAAGATGGTAGGAGATGATACCTTGCCCATTATGATACAAATGAAAGAGAGAAAAAGAATAAGAAAATAACAGGAAAAGAGAGAGAAAAAATAGGAACAAAAGAAAGAAAAAAAGAAAAAGGGGAGGGAAGAGACCAACATGGTACAAACCCCTTCCCAACAACTGTAAAAGTAAAATGCTTAACTCACATTTGTAAGAGTGCTGTAATAGAAAATGTCATTTTTCTGCTCTTGAAAAACACTATAGGCATGTTAAAGTATCATTTTGGTATGTGAGTTACAGATGGACAGATCAGTCTAACTCTAGCCTGAGACAATATCTGGGGGTTCATTTATAGATCTATTCCCAGTTTAAGAATATTTTATCTGAGAATATACAGTGACATATTTTAGAATACACATTTTAAATGCATTTTGGTATGTTTTTGAGTCAAGACCTGCATGCAAAATTCATAGTGCATAGTGCAAGGACAGCTACATTCTGCTCTGCATGTTCATCTTAAAAGTTCAATATCAGGTCAGTTCAATACTGGAATTCACAAAGGACAAACTTCTCTAACACAGCTAGCCTAATCTACTAAAAGAAATAAACAGTAAATTAATGATCACATTTCAATACATATTCCTCTTAATATGTAGAATTAAGAGCCAGTTATGGCCCTTCAAGTTAACCACATTTCATATAGTGCCTGCTCCCTCATTTTTCTACCACATACTATTTTTACAGCTTGATTTTGGATCCAAAGATGAAAAATCACATGCCTTGTTATCGGAAAAAATAGCCAACACTTTACATATTATTTTGGTAGAAGTGCTAATTAAGCACATAGCTGAACTTCACCTTGATTTATTCAATATTGTCAGTTTCTTAAAGGTATTATATATTTAGTCAACTTAATACACAATAGTAATGTTTTATTTTCCACTCCAGGGTCAACTAGTTTTCAAGCAGTTCTTTTCAAGGCAACAGAATTGGTCTAGAGTAAATGGGTCAAGGATTGCAACCAAAACAAAAACAAGACAAGTCACCCTGTACAAACCTCTTCATCAATTTTTGCTTCTTCTGCATCTATATGTCGTTCCTTCAGAAACCGCTGTGTCTTTTCTAGCTGGAATTTCACCAACTCTTCAATTGCATCTTTCTCCTCCTTATCCACAAACTCTTGCACAGCTTCTCCCATTCCCCTTTCAGTCAGAAGGGAAAGTTGCACTTTCTTGGGAGAGATAAAAGGACAAGTATCTTGCTTTTATCTGTAGCAAGCAATCTTAGGTAGCAGCATTATTTAATAAAGGGGAAATATTCATAAGAGAAGAAACATAGATACTTTAAAGTAAGCTGGAGGGGTTTTCTTGTTTTGTACTTATTGCTTACAAAAGCACATGCTATAAAAATTAGCTTGAGTTGGTTTAGATATAATACCAAGCTCTGGGATGCTAATGTGAGATGGGAAGTACGAATTGCTTGGAAACAGTCAAGGATACAGACTAATTGTTTGTCAAGACCTTCATGAGTTATTAAGTGAACCACCAACCTACTGTGGGCTATTATAAAGGTGGATTGTTGTGTTGTCCAAACAAAGTCATTACTACTCTTCTGGTTCCTAACACACAGGGAAACAGCAAATTCAATCCACTGGGAATGAAGAATCAGTGGATATATGGCCCTACAGAATGGTATGTACCTGCAGTTGTGTTAGCAATTCAGTTTTAAATCCAGCCGTAAACCTGCAAAAGTTTACCTTCTCTGCTTTTTGGAAATATTGCTTCACAAGATCTTCTACCCTCAGGGTTGTTCCCTCAGATGTAGGCTTGTGGACCAGATTTCCAAAGTTAATCTCAACTTCTAAAAAATGTAAAAGCAAAGCAAATGTTTGCCCATTTCAAGTAAACACTTTTACCCCAAATGACAATTACATTAAGACAAAACACACATCTGAACCTCAAAAGAATTCAGAGCAAGAGCAAGCAAGCATGAAAAAATATCCAAATTTAGCACAAGAAATAATTGTCATGCTTTAAAATCATTTTATAGAACTTATTTCACACACACACATTATTCAGACCTAGAATCTATATATCAAGCATAGAAGAATTTTATTTAAAGCTACTAATACCTTAAAGAAAGAGGAACATTTATTATATGTATTTCTGGCTTAAATGCCACTCAAATTAGTGGGAACAAATGAAAAAAAAATCAACTTTCACTGATGAAAATGAGCTCTATTTTCAACAAAAAAAAACTCCTGCAAAAAGAAGTCCTATGTTTCAGAAACAGAGAGTTAATTTAGTTAATAAGAGCATTTGTTTTGTCACTAGAGATCTGTTATTTTATAAGTAATATTCCTACTGCAGACCTTCTACATTCATCCACATCGTAGGTATTTACATATAGAACCTTGCATAAAACGCAGGTCTTTGCTTGTCTAAACTTTCTACAGAGAACACAGTTAACTGCTATCTCAAAGCTGCAGAGTTTGATTCAATTTTCAGTCTGTGTTCTTTTTAAAAGCAGTGGTAGCTTCTAAAGGGGCCTTTAAAAATATAAATTAGACTACTTTGAGAGAAGCCATGCACACCAACTTTAGCAACATTTCTGATCACTGAGCTTTTTAAAAATAGCATAGCAACCAATAACTTGGAAATAACCTTATCAATTAGATTTCAAATTGTCAGAAAAATTAATAATTAAAGTGTTTAATGAGCACTCTTGCCGATGTAGTAGGTGCGAGCAAACAGCAAGTATAGAACATTTTTCAACAATTATTAATGTACACTTTAAAAAAATCTAGGCATACTTCATAGCATCATTTGGAAATGGCATGCGAGCACCTAATGGAAAGGGTTTAATACATGCAAGTGATGCATCAAATGCATATGGTTTAAACCAATTATCATTTCAAAAGGCAGATACATTTTTTATGTTGGTTCTTTAATCAAACTATCCTTAAAGAATGGCATGTCAATTTGCTCTCTGAAAATAAGTAGGGCTTCACAAACCTGATAAACAAACTAATCAACCTATGAGGCAAGTTGATACAACACTGCTGACCAACCTGATTAACCTTCGCATTTTCAGTAAAGATTAGCCCTAGCTCCTCTGTTTAACTACTTGGACATGTATGCATGCATGAGACAGAACACAAACATGAAAAGGCAGCATTCGATTACCTTCCTCTAGGCACACATGATGCTATATAACTCAGAATATGCTGAGTGCTAACCACCCACAACCATTTCTAATTCCACTCTCTATTTAGCATTCATCTGACAACCAAATGACAACCTACTGATTTGCCAGGGTTAATACCAAGTCCAAAAAGCACTGCTGCCACACCTAGGCAAAGTTTCTAATCAGAGTCTTTAGCCACGGGAAGTTAACATTCATGCAATACTACCCGCTACTCCTATGCACACCAGCTGTCACTTTTTCTCTATCCCTAATGCTATCCCTGCAGAATGCATGCGGTTTCTACTGAAGACAGAGAATAAGGACATGCAACAAACTAATGGAGCAGGTATTCTCCAGTACTCTTAAAAGATGAACTGGTGCAAGATTCCTGTACAGACTTGCTGCTGGAGGCAGGAACATGCTGCAAGTCCTTGCTGCACCAACTGTTTCAACAGTATTATATCAGCTTTTCCAGAGCTCTTGAAGCCCTGGAGTTCATGTCTACCCTTTGATACCTATGCTGTTCAACATAATCAAAGATGACTTTACAGAAAATATAAAGGAATCTACTTAAAATGAAAAAGTTCAATTCCAAGATCCATTCCTAAAGGTGCTTAGTGCTTCCTCTTGTAACTGCCCAAACACAGTAAAAAAAAAGTTTGCTGCCCGTTACTTCTATTTTTAGGCCCAGGATCCCAATCAAGCCTTCCTTCTCCTTTTGTTTGATAGTTTTGCTGCTTTTAAGCAGCTTTCCCCCTATTCTAAAAGCTGAACTGTTTCTCCGTAACTTAAAGCCATTAGTGCCAGTAAAAAGATATGCCGTCATTTCTGGCTCTGCTGCTTTTGCATTTGGCACAATCCACCACCATCCCCAAGAGCCTCTCCAAAATGGAATTCAGCCATCAGGGGGAAAGAGGCTTAACATCCATGTTCTATTCCATTTTTGAATTCAGTTTTTACCATTTTTCTCTTTTTGCTCCCGATGCCTGAAAAAATGTACGATATCTTTTGGATTAGCTATTCTGTCTGCATACTTCTGGCTGAAACGAACAATGCTGAATGGTTCAAAGCCTCCACTGTAATCTACCTTCAAAGAAAAGAAAAAAGAAAAGATGTAAACTCTGCAACCATATATCTGAAAAAAAGTCAATATCCATTACTTAAATTGGATGCACTTCTGAATATTTAAGTAGCTAGGGACTGGTTCTCAAGAACTGATCTCAACATCAGTTTTCTGTTTGGCACATCAGAAAACGTTCTGAACATTGGAAACTATACTTTTGATAATTTTAAGTAGCAAGCTAAGGGCATAATCCTATGCACATTTAAGCAAAAATGGGGCATTCTGGGGGTTGCAAGCCTTTTTTTTTCTTCTCTAAAGATGCACAGGGGTGTGCTTTCAATGGATTTTACATTACATGATTACTTCCTTTAAGGTCCTCACATTCTGTACCCCTATGGCATGCACAGGAAAGTTCATTGACTACAACTCCAATAAGCAAGACAAAAGTTCAAAAAGGTATATCAAGCTGAAAGAATTTTAAAACACTCAACACTATACTTTAATTAGTTGTTTGCTATATGGATAAGTCAAATATCTAGTGCTTAATCTTACTCGTAATCTTATTAGAGGTTTCTCTGGTTGTCGTGGATTCACAAGACGCTCTCTTTCTGAATTGTCCAGCATAGTTTCAACCTTAATAAAAGAAAACTCCATAAATGGCTATATACAGAAACTGCCATTTCATCCAATCATCTTACTACAAATAAGATTATAAATACTTATTTTTGAAAACACAGAATTTTGCTACATAATTTTTTAAAAGTCAATTTCCCTGGGCACATTATTGTGATCACAAGCCAATAACACATTTGTATGAAAAGCTGAAAGATTAATTTCTAATTCTACTAAAAGTTTTTCAGCAGAAATATGCATCACTATTAGACTGCTATGCCCAAATTGTGCTGAGAAACACTGGGTGTTCTGGTGTTCCTTTAAAAGCCATGACAGGCATTACATGGGATATGTGCATTCTCTTGCATTTGCTGAAGAATCATTCCCGCTAAGATTGACAGCAGCTGGGTCAACACCGTCTCATGGATCTCCTGCCATTTCTTCTCACCTTCCTCTTTCACACTTAATTTATACCCTGTCCTTGACTGTCAGTTCCATCATCCCTCCTGCTGCTTTATTCATTTCCTTCTCTACAGCTTCCCTCTCATATCCTCTTCCTCCTTATTCCCGTTTTTTAAAAATATTTTTATTACCATCTTGCTCTGTAAGCAACTTCAGCTGCTGCATGTGCCCATCCAGTGCGCATGGTTCAGTTATAGTACAGGGTGATTAAGCACCAGGCACTCTGCAGCACTGGGACCCAACTGCAGACTAGCACAGACCCAGTAGTGGGCCCCAGTGCAGTTGGAGAAACACTGTGCTAGGTCTCAAGTTATACAGTGTAACAACCATCCAACACTAAAGAGAACCTCAAATCTCTACTAAGACTGAAATGGACACAGCATACTACTAGCTAGTGGACAAGCTTAAGTAAGTATCACAGAGTGAAGAAACACTGAGAAATCTGTAGTGCTATACAGGAAACCACACCAAGTAGGAATCTATCCAATCGTTAGTTAAGACGATGCCATTAATGCTTCACTGCAGATCCTATTTATTTTTTAAAAATTACCTTCTCCATGCAGAATGCTTGTATTGCTTGTGTTACTTTAGGATTGTCAGGATTAAATATGCCTGGATGGTCAGCAAGAACAATGTCCTCTATGTAGAGAGGTCGTACTGTCTGGAGAGGAATCTTCTGCATATTCATTTTTTTGCCTTTGATTTGTAGCAAGCCAACATGCCTGAAATACATTGAATAAACCTATTTAAGTAATGGGAGAGTGGTAAAGTCCCACTATATAAAAACCAGATCTATTGTCATTGTTATGTCTACAATGCTATTATAACAACAGCTACAGCATTTTATAGCCTCAACAGGTCAACAAGATGATCAAGGCCTGTTGTTGTTAGTTGCAAAGTTGCATCCAACCCATCACGACCCCATGGACAACATTCCTCCAGGCCCTTGTGACTGTCCCCCACCATCCCTCAGAAACTACTTAAGCTCACACCAACTGCTTCAGTGACTGCATCTAGCCACCTCATTCTTTGCCGTCCCCTTCTTCTTTTGCCGTCAATTGTTCCCAGCATTAGGCTCTTCTCCAGGGAGTTCTTCCTTCTCATTAGGTGGCCAAAGTATTTGAGTTTCATCTTCAGTATATGGCCTCCTAAAGAGCAGTCAGGGTTGATCTCCTCTAGGACTGACCAGTTTGATCGTCTTGCAGTCCAAGGGACTTGCAGGAGTCTCCGCCAGCACTACAATTCAAAGGCCTCAGTTCTTTGGCGCTCAGCCTTGCTTATGGTCCAGCTTTCACAGTCATACATTGCAACTGGGAAAACCATAGCCTTGACTATACGCACTTTTGTTGGCAGGGTGTTGGTGTTGCTTTTTAGTATGCTATCTAGATTTGCCATAGCTTTCCTCCCAAGAAGCAAGTGTCTTTTAATTTCTTGGCTGCAGTCCCCATCTGTGGTGACCTTGGAGCTCAGGAAAATAAAATCTGTCACTACCTCCATTTCTTCCCCATCTATTTGCCAGGAAGTGATAGCACTGGATGCCATGATCTTAGTTTTCTTAATGTTAAGTTCAACAAGATGATCAAGGCCTATACCAATAAGGAATTCAGATTTGTAACTATCAAAATGTTATCTACTCATTATTCAAATATGTAGTGAATGGAGAAGAGGCACAAAACCCTCCTTTACTCACTCAAATTCAACTGTATCAAATGAATACAGCTCCATACTTTGGAAGGCAAATACTGCCTCTGCACTTCTGAGTCCCTGGATGGACTGCTTCAGAGCCTTTTGGATGAAGTGTTGTTTGATGCCAATGAAGGATAGCACAGGGTGCTAATTTTTTATGTGCAATCCCTATCTCAAAAACTATGGCACAGATAGCAACTCTACCAGAGATGTTTTCTTCTTTTAGTATACTGGAGATTAGCAAGGATGGTTCAGTGTTTCTCCTATCTTCACAGGAACAGTGGCAGCATTGCTTTATTTCAGTCTAGTCCCACCTCTGGAGGATGTTAGTGGGGGTGGGGCATAGACAAGGTCAAACTTCTCTTAATTCTCTTCTCTATTTCAGTAAACTGGAGTGTGCCAGGATCATTTACATCTGGAGAGTCTGTACCAACAAGGGTGGTCAGGGTGCTGACCCCTACAGAGCTTACTACATAGTAGGATGAGAGGCATAGGATGGTCTTAGTATTCTGGCTTAATCTGTCCCAGTTAATTAGACCACAGGCCTTTTTCTTGTTAGTCTTTTTGAAGTTGATCAGATTCTGGGACTCGGGTACGAAAAAGCAGGTAGAACAAAAGTATAGGTCTTTGAGAAAGAGGGTTTTTAACACTAGAATTTCTTGAATATTCATAGTGAGAATCCCAGGACACCTTGCCCTGTTTTTACCTTCTGAACAGGCCCAAAGGGTGCATGCATGCGTGCAAGCAGCTAACTTAATGGTCTTATTAAACAGGAGTGGTTAAAGTTTCAAGTTTCAATTTTTTACAACTACAAAGTCCAATCACTGAAGTACACTGCAAGACATAAAATTAAATCTGAGCCTAGGAATTTGAGTAACAGAACTAAATGGAGCTCACAGCCTTCCACACAAACCACAGCAGGTCTCTTCCCTCCCAATTCTTCCCTAATTCTAGCAATACAATGGCAGGGGGAGAAGCCATGGTGTCACTAATAAGCAAATAGAAGTAAAAATGTTTGAAAATACCAATCTACTTTCTGTCCACTCTTTACTGAATATATAACAAAGTTTTATGTTAAGGACATACTTTTTGGCAGCTTCTCCAGGTGACAAAGATGTAACCACTGAACTTCCCGGCTGGGAAACATAGAAAAGTTGCTGCTCATTCCGAGTTGGGGCAATTTTACATTCATGCTCATGACCCCAAATTACAAGATCAATAAAATCATCTAGAAACTGTTCTGGAATGTAGTTAGTTGCTCCATGTTTACTCCTGTGGCAAAGAAAATAAGTGCAGTTGCAAAAATAAAAATGATGTTTTGCACAAACTGGAATTTAGATACTGACATGTATTCCTACAATATTAATTCCATGGTCACTGCTGCAAAATACGGTGTATCAGCTAGGTTTAAATATTAAAAACTACAGCCTCAAGAGAGGTACAGATACACTGAAGGTAGCAAAAATACTTGCTGTTGTATTCCTAAAATCAATCCTAGTCTATTTCTTCACAGAAATTGATATAAGCAAGGTTTGGGCTCACCTAAAGTGGTTCTTAGCATGCCATTCAAACAAAAGCACACTGCTTATTTGTGGTGAGCAACTGACAATCTAGGGAGCCCAGTACTCTGCTCATGCATATTTTAAGCTTCCTTGTTCAGAGATAAAAATCTATGATCCAAAATGTTTATGTTCCTCCAAAAATACTCCCATTCATATCAGTTAGACAGAGCTGTTACCTCAATTTGCCATCCCACTCTTTCATTTAGGGCTCTCTAAACTAAATGATGCACTGAAAATATTCAAGTTTTAGTCCCCTCTTGCCCAAGTTAGTGAATTAATTTTAAAATGTGCTGATAAAAGAAGGATACAAACTCATCGCCTTCCCGAACAGTAATAGTACCTGTTCTGGTGAATTACAAACAGATTAAACCAACTATCTTCATCTTCTTTTGGCCTCAACATGGTTACTTGCTTATTCACAAACATTCGGTACAGCCTTTCATCTGGAATAGATCCTGGAACAGACATAATTTTAAAAAGACCAATTAATAGATTTTTCATACACAAACATGCTGACAAATACACAACTGTACAACGAGATTACCAGTGTTCAGAGAAGGTCTAAAACTGTCTTGTGGTTTGCCACTTGGAAATTCACATGCAGCAAGAACAGTTATCCCAGGATAAGCGCTCAGGTTTAAGGTTAAGCCCAGCTCCCAAGCACAGGATTTGATTCTGATTCAGAAAAGGGAGGGAGGAAGTGGCCGATGCTTCAAGGAAGGAGTAGTGGGAATAAGCTCACTTAATAACCCAGTAAACCCTCCAAAGGGAGGGGAATGCATATACTGAATAAAGCATAAGACTAGCGATTATGGACCCAGAGTAAGACATCAAATGAAGAGGAAGAAACTGCATACGGCAGTAAAACAGTCAACATGATACAGTTCCCAAGTAAAGAATCTGCCCTGAGGGAAGTGCTTGGTTAGCAAAGATGGTATGGTACGGCTGTAACACATAATTGCCTAATAGTTCAGTATCAACGTTTTACCAGCTGCATTATATTCAGATTTTAGCCTTTCCCATTGCTAACACAGCTCAACTCTTTTACAGCCATTTATTGTAACTCAGGTATTTGTCCATCTCTTGCACCAAGTAACAAGCTGCACTTCCTTACAGTGTTACCACTGCAACCATATTGTACCAAGTCTACTGTTAAAAAAACAAACAAACAAATCAACCTACAACAATGCAGGCTTACAGAGGCCATATTCACAACTACCTGTGAGAGAAGAAATGGACAACAGCCAGAGCAGTGGAATGTGCCCTAGTCAAAGAAATGTAGTGCAATGCTATGGTGTCCAGGCTAATGCCAAAGCTTTTTTGACCAAAGGTGACCAGAAATGTGGCTACTGCTCCAAAACAGAGTTTCTCAATAGTAATAATCAATGCAGGTTTCATTCCATACCATGGGGAACTGGCATCCCTCTATCTTACATCTGGTACTGTAATTTACATACAAGTAGTCATACTGGCTTGTCCTTCTAAGATTTTGTCACAGGGTGTCTACTCTAAAACATCCCCAAATTTTAGCCTCTGCCTTTTTTTTCCCTATAAGCAAAAATATCACTGAAGTACAAAAGTACCCTAGAATCTTCATAGGAATAGTTGTTTCATGTTTTATATCCCAAACAATTCACCCTCAAACAAAGGAACAAAAGAAAGTTCAGTACAGATTATCCTGGTCTCTTTTTACAGCTAAGATATTTACAGGAATGCCTTGGCAGAAAGTTTTTTTTCCCCTTTTAAGTGATATTAATAGTTATGTGACACACAGTTGATTTGGCAGCAAAAATGATTAGGAAGAGAGAATTAGGCAAAATTGGTATAAAGTGCATTGGGGATTTGGAGTTAAGGTAAAGATTAATTTCTGCTCATAGTATATTTTAATCGATGTATTTTATATTACATGATTTTTTTTCATTTTGCCATCAGTACACATTTATTTGATGTTTTTAATCATGGACTTTGACTAGTACAATAAACTTCACACTGCAACTAGAGCTAAGATGTTTAATTAAAACCTCCAAGGAACCTTGAGGGAAAACTTTGCTATGATTTTTTTCAAATTAGTAGGCAAAATTATTGTTATGCAGAGAAAAGATCAATGCTCCAAGCATTGTTACACTGATTTTATTGGTTTGCATGGCCTCAAGAAGGATAATATCTTGAATTACTTGCAGTGACAGATAGTGCAAGCCGTTATGTTGACTGGAATCTCCTAGACAAAATTTCAGGCAGAACAAAAGCTTTTCATATACAGCATTTTTCTTAGCTGAAGCACTATCATTTGGGGTTAAAAATGACCCCAAAAGTGACTAATGTTATTTGTTTGTAGAGGTGGGATGTAACATCTGCTGAAAGTACAAACTTTGGACAAAAGCAAAACAAAGCTGCAAACCGACAATGGACTTACAGACCCAAGTAGCTGCTACTTTAAATCCAAGATTAGAAAACTAATTCTAAAAGTTTACTGCCTTTGCTGCAGAATTATGAAATGGATTTCTACTACACATTTTTAGGTGTATGTCTTCCCTCTTTGAAAGGCCAGTCCAGCTGTACCTTCAAGGTATCATGCCTTGCAAAAATTATACCTATTCCATAGAGAGCAATTTTCGAGTTGCCTTTCTGAAGCAAAATAGGACTAACATCTATCTTCTCCACAGATGGTGATCGTCCAAAATGATTCACAAGTCCTGCACAACTTAAGATGTCCAAAGCGCAAAGAGCATCTGCCTGTAAGACATATAATACAACAGAGACAATCAGTGTTTATCAAAGATTGGTTCAGTCACTCTTTGGCAATGCTTAACCTTAGACCACACAAAGCATTCAATTTTTTTAAAGCCTGTATATATTTCAAGTTTAGCTAAACCAGCCTTATAAATGGTCACTAGGGCAGATTGCCTACAGCAATCCAAATAACTAGGCAGAAAACATTTGTAAAATGAAATGCATTATTTTCAAATCATCAATATGCCACAAAAAATAATAGAGACATTGGTAGGAATGCAGTGTGATTTTAAAAAACAACACAGTGAGCACTAATAGCTTTGCGGACCTTTTAGAGAATGGATTAAATAAATTACATATTAAATATAACTGCTTATTATACCATTGGAAAATTATGGGCAGTCCTACGTTAAATGAATCAGCTACATCAAATATATTTTCTCTCATGTAATGAGTGTGTGCCTTCTTCATAATCACAAATAATTTAAATACCTGAATACGGCTATTTCTAATTTATGAAGTAGTTCACCAAAACTTTCATACATAAAGCATGCAGTTTATCCAGATACTAATGTTGCAAACAAATGCTTGATATCACCACAGAATCTCTATATAACAACCTGATGGTTTTTTAGCACGTCCTATTAGGACTCTTTCCTCCTCTAACATACTTACCCCTGTAGGATCATCATGGTTCCCATGTATACTGAAAACTGGAATTGAAATGTTAAGATTTTCATCTTGATAGTTCACCCATGGAAACCTGAAAAATAGAGCAAAGTTTAGGTTCTCCATTCAAATGGAGAAGAAATGGACAGAAATCTCACCATTTACCACATCATTGTTGCCTATGTGAAACTAAGTCATATATGAACGATCATGGTATTCAAAATGCTCCCATTAGATGAAGATGAAGAAGCAATACTGGCCTTCTGCAGTACCCCTTGAAAAGCTGTTCCTAAGGATTGCCCCCACACCTGGGACATGGAAGGGTGGATTGACAAAAATTCCCACCATTCTTCCACCACCTTCAAATGATTTCAGCTCCTTCTGCAGACAGAAGGCTCTCCTCCAATTGCACACAACGATCCTGTCAGAGCAGGACTTTGGTTCAGAAGTCCTGGACCACAGTCAGGAGAAAGCAGCAAGGCTTGATTGTCATATTTTGAAGTAATACATGCTACCATCTAAACTAGGGAGCCCTGTTAGACCAATAGGTCTAGAGCCTGGAATTACTTAACTGCACCACTGTTTCCTTTACTTTTCCTCCAAGTTATACAATCAGTAATACAGTAAAGAGTAAAGAAACTTACTTGCTAAAACCAAAATTGACTGCCTGGTCACTCAGAATTTCAAACTGAACAGGATGGTCACCCATACAGTATTTCCTTAATAATTCTAAACAAGTGTGTAATGTTTTCCTGGAGGGTTTATTTTCATGAAAGAGATCTCCTCCTAATAAAATAAAGTCCACCTAAAGAAAGAAAACTTCCTTAAAATGGTATTTTGTATGTTTTGTGAAACATGCATTCATCAGAAAGGCTTTAAATCACCTACAAACAAAATGTAAATGCTAAAAATTAACCTTGCTTTCCTAGTATCAAACAGGTTCCAAAAAATTCTTTAACTGAGAACTTGGAAGTATAAAAGAGAGGATGGCAAATCTATAGGGGAATTTGCAGCTAATTTGTTGTTAAAAATGCAAATTACCAAACGCTGTAAAATGACTAACAATTTTTAAAAATTCTATAATAAAATGTTACACCAAAAAATAAAGGTGGGAAAGGTATTCATTTTAACATAACAACAGAATGTCACATTACAAAGAACCAAACTGCCCTAATTCTAAACATTTTCAACACTGCCACACATCTTCAAAACCCGTTTAATAACATCCATTACATGGGACCCTTCATAACTACCTCAATGCAGGCTAATGGTACTCAGAATGATTCTACACAAATATGCCACATATTCTGACTTTGTCAACAGTGCAATGCATGGACAACATTGCCACTGCAGGAAGATAGTTATTCCTTCTAATAAACTGGTCTTTCACTGATGATGTTACTAAGTGATAAAAAAGTGGCTTGCCTTATTATCTTGAGCAAGTTTCAAGATTTCATCAAAGGTCACAAAGGTATCATTTCCACGTGCAGCATCCTTTTCCAAATACCCAAGATGGATGTCAGTTGCAACTAAAATTTTAAATGTGTCTTTCTCTTCATCCCTAAAGTGAACATGGGGGAAAGAAAACACAACTACATCATCTACTATTTCAGCACTATTTTGCAAAGCCATAGATTGTATCCCTTCAAGTCAGCAAATAAACAGGCTCATTGGTTTTATGGGATTCATAGACTTCCAAACAATTCCAAACAAAAGAGTGTCTTCCTGGAGAGCACTGAAAGGAAGTTGATGGCACTCTGACCAGTTCCTTCCACTATACTTCTATAGGCCATCAGAGCCATCTCGCTGTATGTTGTACCAGTACAATGTTTGTGCAGGCAGAGTACTGGATTACAACTGTGCAAGCCAGGGCACAATTCAGTCATGAGGTTTAGTGGACATGCTTGGGATAGTCATCCCCTCTCCATCTGTTACTGCTCTTACAAGTTGTCAAGTTGTCTCCAATTTATGGTGCCCCTATGGATGAATGCCTTCCAAAACATCTTGTCCCTGACAGGCCCATTCAGCGATTGTTACATCAAAGTTGTGGCTTCCTTTGTGGAACCAATCCATCTTGTATCTGGTCTTCCCCTCATTCTTCTGCCTTCAACTTTCACAGAAACAGAGCAAGTCAGAAGGGGCATGCCGGGCCATCTAATCTGACCCCCAGCTCCAACCAGCTCCGCTCACAACATGCCAACCATGTGCATGTCCAGCCTATTTCCCTAGCATGACTGTCTTCTCCAATAAGTCCTGCCTTCTCATGATGTGGCAAAAGAACTACAGCCTCAGTTTCATAATTTTTGCTTCTAGTGAAAGTTCCAGCTTTATTTGATCTAGGACCCTCTTGTTTGTCTTTCTGTCGTCTGAGGTACTCACAAAGTTTCCTCCAGTGCTCCTAGTTTGCATATACTTATTAAAATCAGACTTAAAGTATAAATGTTAAAATGATAGTATGAAGCTATGCATCCCTAAACAACTTGGGAACAGGATACCCAAGAGATAGTGCCTTCCTCCACATAGATCTACCTGCCTTCAGAGATCAGCTGGTTGTGCCATAACTGCAGATGTCCATCTGGCATAACCAGGAAGAGGGCCTTTCGATGGTGAAAAGCACTCAAAAGAGTACTTGTCCCCACCATCAAAATTAAACATATGCTGACCCTCTTACAATTTAGGCATGTTGCCTGTTTTTATTCAACTTGGCATTTGCTGATCCATGACCTTATGATTTTTAATTCATGGCTGGGAATTGCATTGTATATTTTTAAATTTTATTTTATTTTCCCATCGTAATTTTCTCATTGTTAACTGCTTGGATATGTTGTATGCAGCATGGCTATGATGTGCGTGTTTACATGGGAAAGATATTATATTGGGGACATTTAGGATTCTGGATGTAGTGAGAACACAACTGGCAGTTCCTTGCAGAAAAAAGCCATTTATTCTTGACACTCTGTTGGGGCAAACCAGGTATTTGTAAATTATTCCAAAAAGCTTTACAACTGTGCAGGCTCAGGTTAACCGATTAGGTATATAATAGATTTTATTTTGCCAGTTTCCTTTTCCACACAAGAATCTTCCTGAAACAAAAGTTTCCCAGGTTAGTGGATTACATGTTATGTAGCAAAGCTCAAAAGAAGCAGAAAGAGCAACCAAGATCCCTTTGTATCAACAGAATGTTTCACAATAACTGCCAAGCAACAGCCAGGTGTAGCATGTGCAAAAGTGGGACTACACTGTGATTCGAAAGAAAAATTTGGAACTGTGAGAAAGGTGATTTGGAATGATCCAATTACACCTAGAAATGCCCATCCCCTTTAACAACAAGCTGGAAGAATGTAAGAAATGAAGCACCCACATAGCAGGCAGTCACTGTGTGTATGCATGACTTGCTGCAAGAATTGCTTAATTTCTTATAGTTCACTTGTAATTTTCTTTCAGCACAGGATATAAATATCAGTGGATCTCAAAGAAATATACTTCTTTGTATCAGTAATGTCCAGCTAGTTTTCCTTGTTTTTAGGAAGGAGTCTCTCACCCAATTATGAATGCAATATGAAAAACTGGAAAGGTGACACAGAATTTTAATAAATCCACAACCACTAAATTTCAACCAGACTAAACTGGGTGATTTCTACTTGAACTCAAACAAAGACAAAACACTGTGGGTGTCTGGATGGCAGAACTTACATGAAAGTGGTAGGACTCATCTCTGCAATCACATCAGCTCCAATATCCAACAAATGTCCTACAGGAGAGCACTTCTTAATTGACCAATATGAGGAGATCAAAAAGCAGATTTGGAGACAAGAACTAAAAGAAATGGTCCAAGAGAGAAAACAGTAGGATGACAATCTTGCTGTAATTACTTAGTAAATTTAAGATATTATATAATAACTGCTTTTTCACCAGAAAGTTCAACAAGACCAATGGAAAAGCAATAAAAAGAAAGAGCACTTGTATTTATCTTCTGTCTTCTACACAAAGTACCAGCAGTGCCATGCTGCTGACACTTCTGTCTTCTGGAAAAATTCAAATAGGTACGAAAAAGAAGCTTTCATCTTTCCTGAATGAAGACTATGATTTTGTGAGTGAGCAGATCTTGAAATAACTTGACTGAACAATACAATGGCTGATATGTCTTGTGTTTTTATGCTTGATCTCAAAGAACAACAAAGTATGTGTGGGGCAAACCAGGAGAGGGCATTCCATAACTGCAGATTAGAAGACTCCTATGGGAAGTACCTTTATTAGAACCAAAATGCTCCCCAAATACCTAAGCTTCTGTGACAAGACACAGCAGGCGCAGAAAGAGAACTGAATCATGCAGAGACACTGCAAGCAACCTCCTCTGTGTAAGTGGGATTTCATGAGAGAAATCTTTAATTATTGTCTTTGTTGCAAGCTTACAATTCTAGCAGAACCACTTCAATATTACTAATAATTAACAGCCTAGTACGTTTTACACAGAGGCGAGTGTTGGACTGGAGCACAGGATCCGGGTTCTAGTCCCCATTTGCCCATGAAGCTCACTAGATTTGGGCCAGTGACTGCTCCTCAGCCTGACCTACCTTGCCAGGCTGTTGCTGCGAGGACAAAATGAACACAACTAACTTGCAAGGAACCCCAACGGCTTACAAGGGGGAAGGAAAAGTGGGACACAAGTGTAACGCAACAGTAATAAAAACTAATGTAAAACTAAAAACGATATATAGACTTCATTCGGCTTACTCTGCCCCAGGACTGTAACCTCTTACCGGCAGGCCTTATACCTCCGCGTCCCTTCCCGCGCTCTCAGAGCCTCATTCCAGAGCCTGCCACCAACTACCAACCCAGGCCGCCCTTTCGGTTTCTATGGCACCCCTCGCGGAGGAAGGATGACAACACCCACAGGGAACAGGCAGCGCTGTTCTCGCGACAGCTGCCGCTACAGTCTCGCCAGCCCTCTCGCGAGCCGTCTTTCCGCCGTGCCCCCTCCACAGAGAGTCCAAGAGCTGCAGCCAATTCCCATTGCGCAGCCGCGGCCACATCCGGGAGGAGCGAGACGAGGGCCGCGCTGGGCCGGAAGCTTCCTCTGCCGGAGAGAGCAAGGCCTGCTGGGGGCCCTGCTGGTCATTCCTTGGGCCCGCCCCTCGCCAGTAGGGGCGTTAGAGAGAAGCTGCGCGGGCGGGGCTGCTCTTCTCCTCACCCTTCGCCGGAGCCGTGCCGCTGGAGGGTTCTCCAGTCGAGGGGGCTTTATCCGGGTCTTTTGTCTCTGTCGGGCGTCTCTGTCGATCAATCAACGGCGGCTTGCAGTGCAGCAGAAGAGTTTTTCAAAGGTTGATCGGTTCTAGCCTCTTGTATGGGCTCCTGGGGCAAATGATCGCAAAGCTGCTGCAGCCGCTGCAAAGGAGACGCGGTGGGCTTTGCAGGCGAGAGAGCGCGAACGCGGCTGCTGCCGTCGTCTGCTTTGGAATAACTCAGGTGGAAATCAACATGAAGCTTTCGTAAGAGAACTTTGTGCGGATCTTACGATGATGCATGTAAGGCTTTTGTGTGAAAGTGTGTGTTTTATAGGTGCAGATATTCATCTTGAATATTTCTAGGCAATGAGCCAAAAACCATTGCAACACGGGTGTGCTGGGTGTGAATGATGGAAGTCATAGTTTGACCCATCTGGAGGGCACCAGGTTGGAGGCGTCTGTGTGGAATAATATATGTATTACTCTAGGGCTACAACCTAGGATTTTCTGCAGCTGCAGACTTTTCCTGAAATATGTGCATGCAGAAGAATAATACAGTAGAAGTAATAGGAACAAAGTGTTTTATATCAGTTTAGATCCTTAACCTAGCTAGGTCACTGTTATCTTTACACTGACCAGCACTGGCTGTCCAGAATTTCAGACAGTGGTCATTTGCAGCCCTAACTAGACATGCTGGGAACTAAACCTGGAATATTTTACATGCAGAACAGGTGATCTGCTCCTGAATTATGCAAGTGTACACCTGCTGCTGTTCTGTTGCTGCTGTTATTGATCATCAAGAATTTCTAATGGTCTTGCATAGCTTTTGTTTCTGTGGTGTGCTCTGCTCTTTTTGATATTCTGTTCTATTTTTGTTTTTAGTCTTGACAGGGGCTGTCAAAATCCTTACAATCAATTAATCAGATAATTCCAGCTCTGTGGTCTAATCCTCTTCATGTTTACTCCAAATAAATTCTCTCTAATTTCACTGGGAGTTATGCTTAGGTAAGGGTACAAAGGACTGCAGCCTTAGGTTGCAATCCTGTACTTACTTAGAAGTAAATCCACAAAATACCCTGGGATTACTTATAAGTAGACATGCCTATGAGTGCACTATTAGTGTTTCATATGAAAGATTGGGAGAAAGACGGAGGGAGTGCGACTCTGGTGATTCTCTTGGACCTGTCAGCAGCTTGGTGTCCTTTTGGATAGGCTGACCAGGTTGGGGGAAAGAGGCACTGCTTTGCAGTGGTTCCACTCCTACTTGGTTGGCCAAATCCCGAAGGTGGTGTTGAGGGGGTGTTGCTCTGTGCTGTGGCAGGTATGTCATGAGGTACAGCAGGGCTTTATCTTATGCCCCATGGTTTTTCAAATCTACATGAAACTGCTGGGAGGGGTTATTTAGAGTTATGGGCTGAGCTGTCATCAACATGCAGATAACACACAGCTCTATCTCTCTTTTTCATCTGACCCAGGTGAGGCAGTGACCAGTCTAAATCAGTGTCTGAGCTTGGTAATGGACTGAATGAGGGCCAATAATCTGAGACTCAATCCAGACAAGACAGGTGAATTGTCTTGCCAGTTAGGAGACCACCCCCCACAACCTGTCATGGACAGGGTCACACTCCCCCAAAAGGACAAGGTTCATAGTTGGAGGGGTGTTCCTAGACCCAGAAATATCACTGGAGTCACAGGTGGACTCAGTGGCCGATAGCACCTTTTACCAGCTTAGGCCGGTTTATCAACTATGTTCTTATCTGGACAGACAGAGCCTGGTCACAGTTATCCACACTCTGGTAACCTCTTGTTTGGACTATTGTAACATGCTTTACATGTGGCTGCCTTTTGAAAACAAACCAGAAACTCCAACTGATTCTGAAAAGGGCAGTACAACCACTGAAGGGGACAGGCCCTTGGGATTGCATCACATCACTCCTCTGCCAGTTGCATTGGGTGCCAGTTGAAGTCTGGGCCTGATTCAGAGTGCGTGTTATAGCATTTAAAGCCCTAAATGGCTTGGAGTCAGATTATCTGAAGGAACGGTTTGTCCCATATGTTTCCACCCATTCCTTATGATCATCTACTGAGGTCATTTTTAGGAAACCACATCCTAAAGAAGTGAGTGGGGGATAACTATTAGGAAAAGGGACCTTTTTGTAACTGCATCCAGCCTCTGGAACAAGCTCCCCAAAGAGGCACACCTGGTGCTGTCTTTGTTATCCTTTCAGCACCAAGTGAAAACCTTTTTGTTCTCCAGTCATTTAAATTGTTGCATCACAAAAGACTGCTTTAATTCTTGCATTTTATTATTTGCTGCTGTACCAAGAGGTTAGGTTATTAAAGTTGTGATGTTGCTGTCTTGATGTTGTTTTCTGTTTGTAGTTTTGTTCTCTTTGAATATAACTTTTATTGTTTATATACTAAACTGTATACCGCCCAAAGCACTTGGGGGCTATGGGCTGGTATAAAAAGGTAATAAAGTGGAAAGGAGTCCACTAACTTATCTACAGAAATGTAGTCCCAAACTATGATGCTGTTTGGCAGGATTGGTACCGCTTTACTCACCCTGACTGGAAGGGCAGGCAGGATAAAAAATAAAAACATCGAAGAGAACAGCATTCCAAGTCCCCCAACTTCATTTTTGTGAGGTAACTTGAGCTGAAACATAGTGCCCAGAAAACTTTGTGCTCTGAAGCTGGTCTGGCAGTGACCCTCTGCACCATGTTGGCCTGTCCTCGTCTAATGTGAGAAAGTTAAACAGATTTTTCTTTCTCATCACACAGAAAAACTGCAGCTGCTAAACTTCTGCTTGTCAAGGGTATGTTGGAACCAAGGTGGATAGACCTTTTTGTCCAAGTCCAGAAATAGGGCAACTGTTGCTGCAGTTTCATTGAGATTTGGGTGTGCTTGGAAGAAAGCCCAATGTCCCAATTATGTTGAACACTTCAAATGGTCAGTACAGTATCAATGATGAGACTCTTTTTTCTTAATTGAGGGTGAGGCACAGTTGACAACAACCACAGATTTTAGGTGGCTTACGAAGCCAGCTCAAACTTGTGGATTCCTGGTCATCAGAAGATGACCACTCCAGTAGTATATTATGTTGCATGGGTTACAAGTACCTGTCAGGGTGCCTTTGGTCAAAATAATACATAATGGGGAATTATTGTCTTCAGGATGGTTACTAGGACCAACATGTTGTGTTAGCTTACATCCAGCTGACAGTTAGAATCTTGCTTCACACAGCCAGATCTAATTTATAGATTTATATGGACAGTGTAATCTTTGAACTACACTATCTGCAGAGACTGACAATCATGCTCACACAGTTGTGGGAATAACTGGCTGGAGAACAGCAGCTTCTTCAAGTTGGTCTGTAAGAAAATCAGCATACTTGCTTCTCTTCAGAGACCATTCTTTGGGACTTCCTATTATTTGAGAAAAGGTGCATACTGCCTAGGATCTGGAACAGCCTCCCAAGAGAATTCTGTATGGCCACTTCTCTGTCTACCTTTAAATGGAGGGCAAAAATTATTTTACACAAGCAGGCTTTTGAAGGATTCTAATTTTGTTATGTGTTTTCTTGCTGTTATAAACTGCTTTGTGTTTTTTGTGGTTTTAGGCTATATTTTATCTTGATAGCCTTGTAAGCTGTCTTGTATATTTCAGTAAATTAAAAAGATAGGGCCTAAATCAGTCAGAAGTAGTGATCAGAAAGATTGAAAAGGGAGGGGGGATTTATCTTAGCCTGGCTTCAGTTTTATTGGCCACAGTATCTCCATAGATTTCTCCTTAAGAGACCAATGGAAAAGGCTATACTTTGTGCAGCACCACAAACTGTAGTTTTCTATAATACTTATTTGCCCTTTTCTATCACTGATATATGTGAAGGCTGACAATGGAAGGACTTTCTAAACTCCTGTTTGACAAACTGCACTGCTCCCACCTCAGAAAATCTACACAGTTATTAAAATGGAGAACCTCTGTCTACTTTTGCCTTGGTTGTTGTATTAACCCATTCTTTCTTTCCCCTTCCCTAAAGGTTGTCATGATATTGCTGCCAGCTCCACCATTCTTCAGCTTTTGTTAGCCATTTTTATATATTTGCAGACTCTACTGCTGAATAATCAGGAATGGAAATGAGCTAGAAGGAGAAGTGAAAATATTTTTCTGTATTTGTGACCTGAATACCCAAGGCTGCAAAATGAATGAAAGTGGCAAATCAGCCGAGAAGAACACAGAGGAAGAGACAAAAGATTATAAAGACTTTGCTGAGAGCTTTAACCAGCTTGAATTGTTGGAAACCCACAGGCATCTAATCCCCACAGGAACACAGAGTCTTTGGTCTGGAGATTCTGATGAGGAAGATCAGGAAGAAAAAACAGAGGAATGGTACCAAATTCAAGAGAAAAAGTTAGAAAACAACCCAGACAAGCTTCTGCTTTGGGCAGCTGAAAAAAATAGGGTATGTCAATTGGAATATTCACTTTACGTTGTATTTACTACCCTAAAAACTAACAGTAACTTGTGTTGCAACTGTGCTAACGAATGGTTCCATAAATGCTAGTTTCTGAATCGGGAGGTCAGGGGATTTCTCTACTTAGAGTTCAGCTGACCTGCCCTTTTCTGGAAATGAGTATTTCTGCTCCCAAGGATTTTTAGGAATTGGCTAAAAAAAACCCTAACCTGCTATTGGGTCCTACTAGTACACCGACAGGTTACTGACCACTTTCTCTTGCCACTTCTTTTGAAATGGATTACTGTTACATTTATATTTTGCTTTTCTTCTTCCATGGAACCCTGTGTGACTTACATGGTTCTCCTCTCCATTTATCTTCATAGCAACAGCCCTTGAGGTAGGTTAGACTGACGGCAATGATTGGCCCAAAGTTACCCCGGGGGGTTTCATAATTGAGAGGGAACTTGAACCCAGAATGTCTTGAGTCCCAGTCCAGCACCCTTGATTACTACACCACACCCTAGTCATTTTTCTAGTCATTTCATGTCTAGTCTCTCTGCTAAAAGTCTCTTTTGGTTTAAAAGCCAGTCTCCAAAGTAATGGGAAGAATAGTTTAATGGAAAGCTATGCATACGAAGTCAAGACTGATATTATTGAATATTAAATGGACTTGTAACCTGCTTTTCTGGGTAAAAATCCTGACAGAGCAGATTACAACAGAATTAAAAATACAGAATATATGATACAGTAATATATTGTCCTGGTGTCTTCTGTGCACCATAAATAACATTGTAATAGCTGATACAATAGACTTCAGCGTTGTATCATTTTCTTCTTGCTGCAATTCTCGTAGGAGTTGTACAATGGATTACACTAGGAGCGTGGAAGACCTGAGTTCAAATCCTGCTAGCCATGAACCTTTGGTCAACATGTATATCACCTTTTGATGAGAAGTGAAATTAGAGATACTAAGGCCTGAAAAAAAATCTGGGGCAGGGAGACAAGAAAAATAGGCAAAACCCCTGCTTTTTTCAGAATTTTCCAAAAATCCTGGGGGGAAGGGAAATTTTTTAAACCATGTTTTCTGAGGGGATTTCCAAACTTTCACACTTTCACATCTCTAGGTGGAATAAATATGTGAATACTAAATAAAAGCTGGGAGGAATGTGCATTTTATAAGGGAGCAAGATTTATGCTACTGCACCATACTTAGCCCAAAAGCAATGTATTAAGCTAGCTATAATTGATTTCTCTTCCCCCACAGCTTAACACAGTACAAAGACTCCTATCTCAAAATCTTGCTCCAGTAAATGTCCAAGATGAAGACCAATATACCCCTCTGCACCGTGCTGCCTATAGCGGACACTTGGAAGTTGTACGAGAGCTGATTGCCTATGGCGCAGATGTACATGCCTTGACTGTAGATAGCTGGACCCCACTGCACAGCGCTTGCAAGTGGAACAACACAAAAATAGCCTCGTTCTTGCTTCAGCATGGTGCGGATATCAATGCTCAGACCAATGGCTTGCTGACCCCCCTGCACCTTGCAGCAGGAAACAGGGAGAGCAAGGAAACTCTTGAACTCTTGCTTATGAATCGCTATTTGAAGCCAAATCTCAAAAATAACTTGGACGAAACGGCCTATGATATTGCTCAGAGAACTGATATATATCACTACCTGTTTGAAATTGTGGAAAATTGCACAAATTCTGTGGCAGATTCTTAGGAATTGTAAAACATTTGAATGTTGAACACAGCTCCTTGATAAGAAGTACTTTGTAATTGCACTCAAATTTGGTGCTTTCAACCCTACTTCTTGGCATAGCTTTACTGTATGAGATGCTGAAATGAAGTCTCATTTTGTTACAATGTCATTATTTTTATAATGTAAACTACATTATCCTTATACTTGTGAAACATTCCACTTTTACTTGAAAAAGGTTGGAGGTATCCTAAGTATCACATGGCATGACTATTCTCATACATTATTCTCATATCCAAAAACTAGCGCAAGCAACATTGTTTTAAACAGTGGCTGGTTATTGTCTTTTTCAAAATGTTAGAGAATCAATGAGAGCTAATTGGTGACTGACAGACATGCTTGAATAGAAAGAAACATTGGAGACATACTGCCAGAACTTGCAGCCTTCAGCCAGTATTGAGGTTAGCAGCTGCCTCTCAGCCATGGATAATGACATCTTCTCAGCTGTTAAAAACATGCTACCCAGAAATCAATAGTGTAATTTAATAGATTTCAAAGGCCTCTTCCAGTGTCTGGTGCAATATGATATACCTGTCTAGAATGACCTGTCTACTTCAAAACATAATGTCTTGTGCTCTCTCCTTTTGCTTTCTGAAGTGACAACCTAAATGCCTACATTAGGAAATGTTATGCTGGGAGTATAACTTATTAGATGGATCTATAAGCGGGATTCTGGATCCTTGCCAGAGCCTGTTCATAGAGTTCTTGAAAAGATTCCTTGTATACTGCTGCTATGTGTAGGTCTTTGACAGTGCTGGCTTTTTCAAATGTAATTCAGACAACACAGCTGAAGTGGTCCAAAGATGCAGGTACTGTGAGATCTCACGGCTTGTTTGATACTGCTTTAGTTTGTATGTACTCACCTTCCCCTTTTTTATGTTCTCATATATGAGAATGACACTTGAAAACCCTGTGGTGTTACTCATTAATACTATGTAGTCTGAAGTCATATGTGTTAAGTTACCAGTCCTGAAGATTCTTAGAGCTGGTTCACGTGAAACTTCAATAAGACATGAGCTTAAAAGAAAAGTGTATGCAATCTGTATTGTCAAAAGGATTTATATCCACTTTCCCCACCTTGATGCCTTCCAGACATTTTGCACTACAACTCCCAAAATTCTTGGCCATGCTGGCTGGGTCTGATGTGAGTTAAAGTCCAAAATAACTATAGGACACCAGAGCAAGTAAGGCTAAATTGTTTATGCATCTACAGACTGTTGCTTGTATGTGTTTGTACAAGCTAAGTGGAATACAAACTCATAAGAGTTATTTGTATGTATGGCATGAATTTGTAATGTAAGAAATATATGAAACACGTCTGTTTATATACAAAGATATGTGGAGAATGTGCTTAGTATGAAAAGTACCATGTACTCTGCTGCAACTCAAATATATATGCTTTTTGCTACTTGTCCTGTGTGAACCAGCTCTAAGTTAAAAGTAAATTTCAGTGAAATGGGACTTGGATGTGGCTTGTGGATGTGTGATGTTCCACATTACTGTAAACATAGAATCAGTTTTCTTATTCATTGTTACTCTGGTGTAAAAGTGGCTTGAAGGCTGCAACAATTCAAAATGATAAACTGAAGCCCACATAACTCTATAGTGGGCAAGTGGCCTTAAGTCCTTAATATTGGATTCTAATTATTACTTACATGCATGAAAGTCCTCTTGAAGTCAGTGGAACTTTCTGCAAGGGATTACAATGTGGTCCATAACCTATTTGTGTTGACATACTTAAGGTTATTAGTATGTGATCCTGTTTATCAGCAGACATTGCTTCTCTCAGATATGTTGCTTATGAGCATGCTAGTCTTGCAAAAATCAGTAACATAGTTTTCCTGATGTATACTTTTTTAGAAAGTAAGAGTAATTGAAACTGATGGTATTTAATGAACTGTCTAGCATAAGGCTGCACATCTGTTTCTTTAAGCACATTTCTAAATGTTTCAGGGTTTGACATCTAAGTTATTTTAATATTAGTGTACTGACTCAAGAGGCTTGCAGATCATGCCTTAAGGTTTCACTACAATTGAAAACCACTTTGAAACCTGTTTAACTGTTACAGTTCCCCAAAGGAATACTGAGAATTGTAAGTTTGTAGAATATAGAGGCTTATTCAGAAAAAGATGGTTTCTTAGGACTACAATTCCCAAAAATCCTTGAATAGTGAGCAGGTTTGAATCTATTTTAAATATGTAGGATAGATGGAAACTTTGTAGTATTGTCTTCAAATAGCAAAGATCTACTGTAACAGAAAGCTGTAAAGCACTAGTGCATTGTGAGGAGAGAACTGCAGTATTTATTATTGTATATAATGACAAATACAGATACTGTCAAAGATGCTAATCACTTTAAAGTTTTTTTATATTTGTGAAATACTTGCTGACTTTTGAAAACTGCATGAAAAATGAAAGTGAATGTAACAGCTTATACAGGTAACACTTGAAATAAAGCATTTTGTAATTCTGCTGTGAGTCTTATTTAAAAATAAAATATTTAACCCATTGAAACACGATTGGATCTTTTGTTGCAGACTTAATGGCAAAGTATCTGTGGGTAAGATAAGAGCAGTACTCCAGATTCCAGTTGAATTTTCATAAATGTTGAAGATTTGAAGTTCTGTGTAAATTTTATGTTCAGACAGTCCCCAGGTTCAGTTTCTGAGAAAATGAAAAATTGGGTTTAAGTCAAATTTGAATGTAAGTTGGATTAGTCAGCCCTCCACATTTATGGGGGTTAGGGATGCAAGACCCTGTGAAAGTGGAAATCCCATGAAGATCTCTAGCTGCTGCACAAACTCACCAGTTTGAAGCAAATAATGCATTGCAGCAAGGAAATGCTGAAGAGAGTTCCTTCTCCAGATGGGCAGGGCAGGAAGGCATGCTTTGGAGGCCTCACTTTCGCTTTTTGCTTTCTCTTTGTGGTCACAATAATTTTCCACAGTAACTTTTTAAAATTAATATGCTTTATGGCATTTCATTCCTAGGTACAGGTTGTTCATACCTCAGGCATTTGTAACTTGGGGATTGCCTGTACAGTGGTACCTCAGCTCACAAACGTCTCAGTTCACGACCAAATCGGGTGGCAAACAAAAATTTCATAAAAATTTTGACTTAGGTTGTGAAGTCCACATTGGGTGGCGGCTGTGATCATGCTGGGGGTAGAGGGGAGATGGCTGAGATTACGCCTGTCTTTCCTGCAGGAGCACGCCTGCAATTGCACCCGTCTTTCCTGCAGGAACACAACCGCAATCTCGGCCATCTCCCTGCCCAGTGCACCCGCATTCGCACCCGTCTCTCCCCCACCAGCATGCCGGGATGACAGGCATGATTGCAGTCGTGCGGGGGGGGGGTGCGGGAGCAGGGATATGGCCACGCTCGTGCTTGGGGGGGCAGGGGGAGATGGCCGCGATCTTTGTTGTTCTTTGTCACTTTGCTTTACATTTTTCTGATTAAAAAAAACGAACGAATTAGCCTTATTTATGTAAGGTTATTTACATTACATTACATTGAACCTTATGGGGAAATTTAATTTGCGTTACGACCAATTTGGGTCACGACCAGAGTCCTGGAATGGATTAAGTTCATGAGCCAAGGTACCACTGTACTTCCAATTGGCTATTTACCTGGAACAGGCATGTGGAGCCAGTCTGTTCTTGGGTACAACTCCCAACATCTCTAGTCAGTAAGGATGATAGAAGTTGGAGCCCAACAACATCTGAAGCACTGTAAGTTTCTCACCTCCTGTTCCAGAAGCAATAATTGTGATAGTGCTATTTCCTAAAACTAGCTGTTTCTTCACAATCAGTTTGCATGTACGTATCACTCTTGTCTTGAAGGTATGAGAGAGGCTCACTTATGATAGTGGAAAATTGTTGCAATTCTGACAGGATTGTGAAGCCACAATCCTGAGTGATGTGATTGGCAAAATGTTCATGAAGAGATGAAGCTGTTTTATACTGAGTATGTTTAGTTCAGAGTTGTTTATTTGGATTAGTTATGTGTTTTATGTGATGATTCTGTGACGCTTATTATTTATTCCAACCAGAAAAGCTCAGGTGATCATGCTGAGAGGAAAGGAGGTAACAGTTACCACCATGAGCCTGATTGTTTGTCAGGCACTTTAAGGAAAAAAGCCATGAACTGTAGTAACCACAGAGTTGCTTTTTGTAATATGTAAACCCAGCCAGTGTGAGAGGTGGTAAGACTCTTACGTGGTAAGTTCTCTTTTACTTTGTTTTCATGCTTTAGTACTAAAATTCTATCATTTGTCTTCAAACTTGTTTTTGTGGATACAGAGAACATACCGCTAGCTCACAAGGTTCCACCAAACCTACAAGTTCCAATTGAGGCCCTGCTAATCATCAGATTTCTACTTGTAACATGCTTAAGTCCAGCACTTGGTCAATGACTCATAGAACACTAAACAAAGAAAAAGCTCAAATGTTCTTGATGGGCAGAATAACATAACTTGGTATACTTTGCAGAAATAAGCGAAATATTCCCTGTGTCTTTGGAAACCGAGTAAGAAACCCTTATTTCTTAGGGTAATCTCAGTGAAGAACTATCCCTCTAAGCTTGCTGTATCAGACACCCAAGTGCCTATAATTTCTTTAATAGAAATATTCTATAGTCTTATAACATCTCTAAGAAAAAGATGTAGACCTAAAGCCTGGTGGACCTGGAGAAAGGGCTTTAAAGCTTATCCTTGATTCCCAATTTCCTAATCCAACTCCTAATAAGAGAGAGCAAGCACATTCATGCTCATATGCAACTCAAACCGACCAAGTAACACCATAATGGTCTTTGGAATTTTTAAAACTGATTGCAGATGTCACAAATGGTCCCATCTGGAATCTGGTTCATGGGAGAGGAAGCTTTTCACAGCACAATGCTAAAACCTGGTTTCTTGTATTTTCCAGTGACTCTGTCAATAAAACTGTCACCCTTCTAATAATCTGCAACATCTTTTCTCCTGTCCTTTGTGACAGCCAAACCTTCCTTTTTAGGAATAGTCCAATATTTCTCCATCTGACCCATTTGCCTTTCCTTCAACCCATTGCCTTTCCATTGGGCTTACCTACATAGAAAAAAATCATTTATTTTCCATTCATATCCTCCCAAGCATAGACAATTCCTGGCACAACTGACAACATAGCCTTGCTAACTGCTAACTGCAACAATTACACAAACTGATTTTTTAAAAAATCAGTTCTCTTCCTGGGTCTTTACAGCAAATCCATGAACCAAAGATAAAGTTTTGAGGCATTTTAAAAGCATCCTCTGAATTGAGAGGAAATTAATCAATCTGTCCTACAGTGAAAAATGAAGCTTTATGGGGATGGGAATATCCAAAGCCATATTTGCAAACAATATTTCTATGTCCAACTAGTGGGTCTACCCTATATTATAATAATTATTCATTTGATAATGTAAGTAGGGAAATAGTTAATTCAAGATGATTAAAAGAAAATTTAAAGCTCCATGAAAAATTCAAGTTGCACCATGTTGGTTCCTGACAGAATGTGGATCTTTGCATATACATGCAAAGTATATGTTTGTCTGCTGTCGGTTTCCCATCCATTAAGACTCCCTAGACCCCAGGAAATATGGCCAGCTGTTGAGTTTCAAAAACTGTTTGAGCTACTGCATATTTACCTGGGATATATAGTGGTGTCTTTGGTGGGAAGGAACACTCTACCTTTATGTCAGAGAACAAGACATATTTGTACTTCTCTGGGAGTGCACCATTGTTTGTGCTGTCAATTCAAGAACCAAGGGAGCTGGTTTTCCCCTAAAGAAGCATTTCCAAAGGGTTACTCTCAAAATTTCAATTTGTCTACAAGTCCTACATAGTAAATAGTGTTTACATAGTCCTGTTTTAAAACAATGACATACAGTGTAGTCCCATGCATGTTTATTGGAAATAAGTCCCATTGGATCTAGTCCTGTATATATCTGCTCAGCACTGCAGCTTGAAATATGTTGTTTGTTGGATTTAGGTTGCGAGGGTAAGCAGTGGGCCTTTAGAAACCTTTCTTGGTGCTCCAGCCTACAACTTTAAATAATAATGTATTTTCTTAGTGTAAACTGAGGTTGCTGTAAAGCAGGTTTCTGTTGGTGGTAAAAACTGATGGTTCAAAGGGGTCGTTTAATCTGTTTAATCTCAGAGCACACCTCCCCCTTCTGTTCAATCTTTTGGGTTTTCAATCACGAGCATTTTGTGGTGATTCCCAGGACAGTTTTCAAATTGCTGGATGTGCTCAATGCCCTAAAAGATGGCCTATTCATGATTTGAGCATGGCCAGCCAGCCACACCCTTTTAACCACTGCAAGATCTGCTAACTGAAGCTGGCAAAGCTTATATGAAAATGGAGAGTTTCTGATGAATTTCTGTCTGTTACGCATCTATGAAACGGGGATAACTATACTGAATCTTATGTGTGTTTGAGGAACAGTCAAGTTTAAAAAGCTGCAGTTTTCCCATACTGCTTTCTCCTTCCTCTGAAATCTACGGAGAGCGACGCTCGACAGCATCCCTGCCGGTTACCGTGGCAACGCTGAAGCGGCTTAGACCCTGCTTCTCGCTAGGCCTGCAGCACGCCTTCCGGTTGCCTTGGCAACACCAAAGCGGCCTAGGCCTCGCCTCACTTCAGGCCTGGAGCCACTCCAATGCTCTCTTTTTGTCTCGGGCCGGGAGTGGAGGGGGGAAGCGGTTTCCCTTCTTTCCCTGCCCGAGCTCCATCCAGGCCCCAGTGGGTGAGGGAGGGAAATCACGAGCTGGCTCCGTGCTTTCTCCCCCGACGTCCTCCACGCTCCCTCCTCCACAGCCTTGGGCTCCTATGACAACGGGCCTGCGCGTCCCACTTGCCTGGGCGCGGCTGCTGCAGGCGGTAGCAGCGGCAAGAGAGACGAGGCATGACTGCGTCGGCCGAAGAGCAACTGGAGCCGAGGGCTGGGGACTCGGGTAGCCAGATCTATGCGGAGTACAATGAAGTGGGTCAGCCCTGTGAGTGTAAATGGCGGGGGGTGAGGGGCAGAGGCCCGCTTCTTGCCATGAAGAGATGGGGGGCAGCAGCTTGTATAGCCACGAACTCTCCACTCTCATACGCACAGGCTGTCCTTGAGGAGAACATTAAATTCTCCACTGAGGCAGTCTCTTCATCCCAGCAAGGCAGGGTGGACGGGACATTTTTGTTGCCATTACAGGAGAGGAGACTTTTATGCAAAATGGAGTTAGGAGTATTGCTCTCCCACTAGCCTCTTGGACTGGGAATTACATGCATGGTCCAACCCCCCTCCCCCCACCAACTTGCCAGCTGTTGCTACTCATTTGTTTGGGGAGAGGCAATTACCTTCCCCATGGAGCTGGGGAACCTGCCCTTTTTAGTTGTTGCTGGACATTAAGCTCCCATCATCCCTGACTGGGAGTTGGAATTGGATGGCACATGAATGACCATAGCGTCCCCATGCCTGCCATAGGGGACATACACCATTTGCCTCAAAGGGGAGCAACCTATGCTTGTTCTTGCTGCAAGATTATCTTAGGCTGCCTTGTTATCAGCCCCTTTAAAGAAGGGACTGCTCTCTTGATGTAGAGCATCCTTTCCCAACTTTGCATGTCCAAATGTCCAAATGTCATGGGCTACAACTCCTAGTATCTCCAATTCTAGGAGTTGTTCCAATCTTCTAGTGGCTGTTCCCCTTTCAGTAGTCAACCAGGATCAACATTCACCCAGTACCAAATTATGGCAAATTTCACTGGTGACATTCCCTTTTACCCTACTCCAGTTATAGCTCTTCTCCTTCAAGGGGGTCTTTCCAGTTGCACTAAACTGAGCTTCAGTTTTTCCCAAAAACATTTCACACAGCTTGGTTTTAGACCTGTAAACACATTGCCCACCACCATTTTATTAGGGTCCTTGCCTAATTAGCGGGCTCTCAATCCATGAGTGACATAAAAGTAATGCCCTTTCCCAAGTGGTAAGGGCTGTTGGGTGGGGTTGATGGCAGAGGTTGTAATTTATAAGCTCATCAGCTATCACCAAGTTTGTATGCATTCTCCATCAAAATAATAATAACCAAATTCAGAGCAAGAAAAGTTTAATTTTCAACCAGATTACATTAATCAGCATTTCCCTATTTCTCTTACTTTTGTATTATGTTCTTTAGTGTTTGCCATTTTGAATTGGTTTTGCTGGTTAGATGAGGGAGCAAAAAGCTACACAGGCTTCTGAATCTTTGCCCACAAACAAGAGAGATTTCTCCAGGTTCCCTTTATTGGTTTCTGAGTTTTTAGTAAGCATTGCCCACACACCTGGAAGCATATTTTACCTGGCATAAGAGCTTGTCCTTTAAAAAAGAGCGGGCATGAGAAAGAGCCATGGTTTCTCAGGAAACTGAATTCTGAGACTATTTCCCCATTCTATGTGTTTTGCTCCACTTGTGCACAATTGCACTCCACCGCAGCCTATGCATAGATCTGATTTTCACTCAAGTGACTGTTCAGACCATCAATGAGAAAGTATATAGGTTTTTTTAAAACCTATTACATATTCAATTTTATGCAACGCCCTCTCATGCCTGAAAGAGAAAATTGATTCACTGCTCCTTTTTCTGAGCAATACACTATGACACAGTTTTTACAAAAGGCACAATGAACCTGGAGTGAAATGAACCATACCATTTGGGAATTCCTTAGTTTATCCTTTAAATTGTCTTTTGTCAAACAGGGAAGAAGTTTATATATGTTGAACCACCTAGAAGGGTTAAGGAAGTACTTGAAGAAGAACTTTATTTCTGGAGGGATGAGGGTAGAATCAAACACCCTTCAGAAGGTAAGTCCTGCAGCCAGTAAAAGTACAAAGAATCCCACAGTGACATGCAGAAAATAAGTCAGATCTGTTTATACAGAGAATGTGTTGTAAATATCAAGTAGGCTTAACTTTAGATAATTTTTCTTGGGAGAATACATAAAACGTGTGGAAACATGTTGCCTTTGAGATGATGTTGGTCTGTAGTTCCCATCAACCTTTACCATTGGCCATCTTGGTTGTTGCTGATGGGAACTAGATTTTGAAAACATTGGAAGGCTTCAGGTTCCCCACTCCTGATATAAAAGTAAAGTTTTGTTTGTCGTGTTTGTGTCACACCTTTTCCAGGGACTCAGGTTGGGTATGCGACTTTATTATAACATGTTAAACTCACCAAACCCTTGTGAAGTAAGTTAGATTGAGAAATGATTGTCCTAATGCAGCTACAGCCATACACACAAGGAAGCAGGAATGTGTATGCATGTGCGTGGCTGAGGAACTGTGCAAGGAAATTTTGTTGCATGTGCATTTCCATGGACTGAAAAGACCCACCCTGAAGCCAGGGCTGCATGCTTGCAACTTTAGTCAGATCACCACCAAAAGCATGGAACATCTCAAGTAAAGTGGAAGTAGGAAGTCTGGAACCCATTCTTTCTTCATTACTGTGTGTCCTTGAACAGATGAAGTATTATGATGCATGGCTAAGCAGAGCAAAGATCTGGTTCTCCCAAAACTCTGGATTAGTTGCCTTAGAACAGCAACAGTTTCTGGCTTTCAGTTGTTTAACAAAATCAGCAATGGTTTTTCTCCACCAAAATAAAGAGAGCTTTATTTCTCTCTCTATGTTGGGAGAACATAAAGGGGACTTTTGTCTGAAAGGACTGTGAGCTTGCTTCCTTCTGGCATTTAAAGCAAATGCCTAGGCTCATAGTATGTTCAGTTTGGCCTTGTCCAAATAGATTCAGTGAACGTCTCAATGGGGCCTGTGAACTTAGGTTTTCCATGGACAACTACTGGACACTGTAGTCCAGTGGTAAGCAACATGCTGTCCTCCAGTGGATTTGGACTACAATTCCTATAATTCCCAAACACTAGCCATGCTGGCTGAGGTTTCTAGAAATTATAGTCTAGAACATCTAGTAAATGCCAGGTTGTCTACCCCATTGTAGCCACTATCAACTACAACAAATTAGTTCATTAATTTGACAATCTAAAAATATATAATGGCTAGTAAAGTAAAATATCTCTTCTGACAAATATACATACATTCTCTGTAGCACATTGTGAGCTCTTCCCTTTTCTTTCATAATTGACTTCATTTTCCAGATTGCTATTTTTAACCTGCCTTCTGAATTGTACGGCTGTACTTTTCAGTTCACCCAGGCAAACTACAAATTTCTGGTTCACCTAAAAAAAGCTTCAAAGAAAATGGCAGGTGGGGCAGGGGAAGAAAGAAAAGAGAGCAAAATGAAGAGAATCACAAAACAATATATTTTCCTCTTACTCAGTTTTCTCCTATCTTTTCCCAAAGAAAATTCACAATTGTCTTCTGAAACTTGTTCCATAACTTCTCTCATGTAATTCCATTATGAAAGGGGGAAAGCTTGTCCATATCTCAGCCACTTTGTTACAATTATTTTCTGATTACTACTATTAAATTACAGGGTTGCTTGATTCCATATTGGACAGGGTTCCTCTGCCTTTAAGAACTTTATGGCAAGATGAAATTCAACAGGGGCTATTTCTCCTGGATGCTGCTGAAGTATGAAAGAACTATCTGCTGACTCTTCCTGTTTTGTTGTGCTTCTAATTTTTTGTGTTAGAACAAAATATAAAGTTAAGATCCCTGCATAACTCTGGTCTTTCACACTGTATTCATGTTTCAGGGGTAGACCTTTGTAGAAAAGCAAAAACATCAGGATTATTCCTTTGAGGATTCACATTGAACTAGTTTCTGTTTAGATAAATTCCTGAGCTTTCTGTTACTGGGTAGAAGCAACAGCCTTTCAGTCTGTTTTTCTTTTCTGTATTTTTTGCAGAGTGAAGAGTTGCAAATTTGGCTATTATTCCAAAGCATGAATGCAAGAGCAGATTCTAGCAAAATAGTGGATTTGCTCTTGTACTTGTTCAGACACCAGACTACCAATGTGAATCATGGAATGGGCATCCCCTTCCTCCATTTTAATGTTTAATATTTACCTTGGCTTTAAAAGTGGCACTTATTCAAGAACAAAGGAGTGAGCAACATCTCCATCATGTGAGCCTTGCTGGATTCCCTCCCCCTCAAGGAAATCCCAGTATTAGCTCCAATACTTCAATATGAACTTGATTTAAATTAGTAATTTAAATTGGCATTTTTTCTTGTTGATTTTAATTATGGTTTATATCAGTGATTTAAAACATGTAGTTGAAATCAATCCACCCTGCAGAATGTTCAGGTCTAAGCCATATACTTGCTTAATTCTGTTATCTTTTCTGTATTAGGACAGAAACAGTGCATGTGAGGCAAAATATTTATGTTTGTTCTGTCATAGGTTCTGTCACAGAGGTTCTGTCCTGACCTACACTGAGAGGGCTTTGTTTGTCAATGAGTGGGTTCTACAAATATTTCTATACATCGATATTACTAATAAAAATGGAAGGGCCAGATGGATCATTAATTCTAATAATGTTGTTTGTACATTATGAACAGTAGCCCTGGAAGGAATTTGGAGCTTGAAAAGGAATTTCCCTGTGGGAGGCTTCAAGACAACATCACAGAATCAAAGCAGTTTGCTTTCCCAGCCTAAGTACTACTCCAGGCATGCAGTAATAAGAAGTAAGAATGTGCTTTCTTTCCCACCACCCCAAACAAAAACATGCCACTTTGAAAGAGCAGAATGAATTATATGAAGGACACGTCACAAATTAATAAATACTGACATCTACAGAATTTGCCCAGCATTCCCATCCTTCACATTTAAATGCCAACTTTTGCCACATTTTGAAAACCTACATTAAAAAATTAAAGAAACACACACGGGATGTGTGAGGAACTTGTTTTGGGGGTGGGAATTTGTTGGATTTTCTAGGTTCAGCTGTCCAGACTCCAATCTGTTTAGACATGACCATGAATCTGAGTTCCTGGTGAGCACACTCAGCATTCATGCAGCACTCACCAGAAATCAAATCCCACGTGACCACTGTACAGGCAGCATGCTCTTCCATGCCATGTGCAAAGGTTGCTGCACATGATGCAGAAGGTTGTTCATATAGTACTTGCCAGGAATAGAGTCCTGTACAAATGCTGCACAAGCTAAGGCCAGGCAAGAAGCAAAAGGGGACAGAAATAGGATCAGAATCTTAAATGCAACTTTCCAGCAATGAACATATAGAGACAAAAATAACTATTATAATAATCCATGCAAAGAAATTGAAAAGAACAGCAAAAGAGGAAAAGCAGGAGATCTCTTCCAGTAGAGCCAAAGAATCAAAGGAAAAATCAAACCTAGGTAAAGCAAACTAAAAGACAAATGGAAACATGAGGAAAATAAAGGAACAGCATAGAGAAGAGATAAAAGCATGACATACTCCTTTGAAGAGGAATACTTTGAGGAAGAGCCTGTAATATTATAAAATGAAGTGAAAAGAGCTCTGAAAGCACTTGGAAGGAATAAAGTACCTGGAGTAGGTAGGATGCCAATAAAAGTATTCCAAGCTGTAAAGACTGAATTGATTCAAGAATATGCCAATAAATATGGAAAAAATGGTCCGTACTCAGAAACATACAATATATATTCTATTCCTAAGAAAGGACATGCAAAACAGTGCAGCAACCATAGGACCATTGCATTAATTTTCCATGTAAGCAAAGAGATGCTCAAGATGTTGCAACAATAAATTTACCGTATATGAAGCAAGAATGCCTGATGTTAAAGGTGGATTCCAAAAAGGAAGAGGCACTCAAGATCATATTGCAAATACATGCTGGCTATTGGAGTGCACCAAAGAATTTTGGAAGAAGATCAGTGTATGCTTTATAGACTACAGCCTACATAAGGAGCCATGGATGGTCCTGAAGGAAATTGGAGTGCCTGAGCACTTAATTGTCCTCATGCATAACCTCTATTGTGGACAAGAAACTACTGTTAGGACAGAAGAAACAAAATGGTGTCAGGCAAGCATGTATTTTATCTCCTTATCTGTTCAATCTGTACTCTGAAGATATAAGGAAAGCTGAATTAGAATCAGAGGAAGGAAAATTGGCAAAAGAAATCAATAATTTAAGATATGCAGATGATAAAATCTTACCGGCAGAAAACAGCAATGCCTTGAAATGACTCCTGATGAAAGTGAAAGAAGAAAGTCAAAAGCAGCACTACAACTGAACATTGAGAAAACATAAATCATAACTACAGAAGAATTATAGAAATTTACTATCAACAATGAAGAAATGGAAATCTTTCACATTTTGTATACCTTGGCTCAATCATCAGTTCAAACAGAGACTGCAGCTAATAAATTAGAAGACTGAGAGGTTAAAGGGCAGCAGTGCAGGAACTAGAAAAAATAATGAATGGTAAGGATATGTCACTGGAAATCAAGGCCAAGATAATCCACACTATTGTGTTTCTAATCATTATGCATAATTGAGAAAGCTGGACAATGAAGAAAGCTGACAGGAAGAAAATGGATATGCTTGGAACATGGTACTGGAAGAGTTTTGTTAATCCGCCAGACTGACAGAAAGATGAGCAAGTGGGTCCTAGATCAAATCAATCCAGAATTCTTCCTAGAAGCAAAAGTGATGAAATTGAAGCTGTGGTCAATACTTGCTATACCACACTGGCTCCTCTTTATGCCTTTCAAATACTACATATAAAGCAGCCCTCAGATTTATCATTACTATTCTTGAATTCCAATGTTCCATTTCAATTTTTTTCTTTTAAGTAAAGGATGGTCAACTTCTTTCATTTTTGTACTCAGTTCATCTACTCGCTGCATAAGAAAACCTTGTTTGTATATTTCATTTCTATATTACCCAGTTGTGAAAACTCTTCGTTCATTTCACAAAGCAGATATAATTGTCTACACTCTGTGACTCCTGAGATATGCAACCAGATGCAGGTCAGCCTTGCTCTGGGGTCTTCTGGCTGCAATATCAGCTTACTTACTGCAGAGTTGCCCCAATAAAAGTTAATGAGATTTCTTCAGAGTAAATGGTCTGTAGTCCTTCTCAGGGCAGTGGGGAGGTATATTATCTGTTTGTTGAATTCATATCCTGCACTTCCTTCAAGCATCTCAGGGCAGCATATGTGGTTATTCCATCTAACACAGACTGACATTTTCATTGTACCAGAAGCCTGTGAGGTACACTAGGCTGAAAGATGGAGAGAGAGGCTGTCCTAAGGTCATCCAGTGTGCTTCATAAACTCAGCAGAGATTTGAACCTAGTTGTTCCCACTTCTGGTTTCATATCATAAGCATGATATCCCAATTGAACTGTAATTTACATACACTTACCAGGGAGTAAGTCCCACTGAGCTCAGTTGGACTTGCTTTTTAGCATACATGTTTAGGATGCACAATTTCTAAGATCCACTCATTAGTCAAGGCACTATCGCATGCAAGTTTAAATAGGGGTGGGGGAATCTACAACTCCCATCATGCCGAGAGTGGTAGGCTTTTTTCTGTCTAAACTTAGGTCTGTGCACTTAATTTTCCTAATTCTTTCAAAGAGCCCCAGTGTGCATAAACATTTAAATCTTTCCTTAAACTGACAAATATATAATTTTATGTTTTTGTTTATAGGTTTTACACAGACACATATTTCAAGGTGTTTTGTTTACAATAGTTTAAATTCTAAACTATTTAAGGCTCTATGGTTGAGAGGCATGCCTCTGACACCCTAAATGGGTTTCTACCCACTATTTAGGAATACTTGCCTAATTAATCACACGCATTGATCTGGTGATGCAGTTTAAAAATTGCATACAGTTTTGCAGTTGGCAATGTTCCACAAATAAAATACTTACCAATCTCTATTTTCATACTTTCCCTTTTTTTAGGATAGGTCCTTTGAAAAGCTGAATCTCCTCTGATGGAAGTGACAGGAGCAAGGCAAAGCTACAGTTGCTATTTTTATCCCATTGCAGAGTACTATATTTTAGAACTTGTACAATAACTTATAAAATAAACATAGAGGCTATTACTCAGTGTATCTGTGTTGATCTGCTAGCATTGAACCATATCTGCAAAGTCTTCCAACCCAGAAATGTCCAAGCTGTCCAACTGACCTATACTGGCAATGTAGATTTCTGTTTGTTTGTTGTTTTTGGGTGCTTCTAGATGGAGGGCTTTCAGCACTAACAATAAGAAAGCAGTGTAGAGATATTCTCTCCTTTTTAATGGATTTTCTGTGATTAAAAAAACACTGAAGTAATAGGGAAATGCAGGAAGGGTACAAATGGAAGATGATGACTAACCTAGATCCCTCATAAAATTCCATGAATTGAGACAGGGGTAATGATGCAGTAAAACCCTAGTCTAGAGGCACTCTTAAACATCTGAACATCACAGCATATTTGTACAATCTCCAAAAGTTGTTATACATTTCGTGCGAGATACCAGTGTGGGGAGGAGCTAGTGCTACTGTGCCTCACATCAAGCCTAAACCCACTTAAAGGCTAGTTAGTCTTACTTTCTTGTTTCATTCATGTTCTCTCCTGCTGCCCTAGCTCAAGGTCAAACCAGATTTACACATATCTGCAGCATCTTCCTTTTGTGCTACAATATGTTCCTGCTGCAACTTTGATCCTGCTCTGCCTATCACTCTGTTAAGATGGCAAGGTTTGGATCCAGCTTTATTAGAAAAATACTTCACTCTGTGTCACTCTTGAGAATTGACTTTTCACTTTGCAGGGTCCCTCTGCTACAGCAGACCATAATGCCAGAAGTGAACAGATATGCCAAAGATTCTGTTCCCTTTACACAATATTATGCTGGCAAACTAAGGTTCATAAATATTCCATGATATTGTCTGGATATATTCCAAAACAAATGCATCCTTGCTTTTCCAACAAAATGTAAAGCCTTGGGAAATTCAGAAGCAAAAATTAAGGCTGCAGTCCTAAATACATACTTGCTTACTTTGAGAGCCAATTTAATTATGCCACAGGAGATCTGTGATCACACCAGGGCACGATTAAGTTCTTTTACAGGTCTAATAGCAGCTTCAAGAGACCTATTTTGATTGGGAAGTGGGCATGGGGTGAAGGATAATTCTGCTCCTCCCTATGTCACTGTCCCAACAGCAGAATTCTGCTGCTGTTCCCCATCTCTGGAACTCCCTCCCTAGGGAAATTCGCCTGGCGCCATCTCTATTTTCCTTTCGGCACCAGGCAGACTTACCTTTTTAGGAATTTTTAAAATGTTTAGCCTGTATGCTGTGGCCCTTTTTAACTGTTTTTATAGATGTTTAATTCATTGTGTTTTAATGCGTTTTTACTCTGTTAGTATGTTTTGCATTGTAAGCTGCCTAGGAAGGCCTTGGCAATTATAGGCAGCCTATACATATATGTAAATAAATAAATACATACATTCCCACGACTGCTTTAAAACCACAACATCCAACATCTGTGTTACATCCCACTTGTATTGCTGATAACACCCTCCTAAATAAAGTAGGGAACTTTATTTCCCACCTTTTTTCCTCTGAAGGAACCCAAGGTGGCTTACATAATTCTACTCTCAATCTTATTCCCACAACAACAATCCTGTGAAGTAGGCTGGGCTGAGAGTCCGTGATTGGCCCAAAGTCACCCAGTGAGCTCCATGGCTGAGTAGGGACTAGAGCCAGATCACCTGAGTCCCAGTCCTGCACTCTTAATCACTGTACCACGCTGACCTTCATTTAGCGCAGTGGCTTTCAACTACCAGTCCATGGACCCATGCCAGCCTGCAGATTTCCTGCCAATCCATGGGGGGCGGGGAGAACTGCATCCTACTCACTGCAGAGGGGCTGGCTGTGCCCCACCACCTCTTCCTTGGTTGGCATTGCGTTTGCGGGGGGTGCAGTAGTGCCACTGGAGAAGCCAGGACGGAGAGAGACGACTCAGTGTGAGCCAGTTGGGAGCCACGCCACACCAGTTTCAGTATTTTGTTCTATTGCTGGCATTTGTGTTGCTTGGTTTCTAGTTGTTTTGGAGAATTTTCTTTTTTCTTTTGGTATTGTGTTTGGAAACTTAATACACAGAATACTGTATTACGTGTATTGTGCTTTTTGTTTCTGCCTCAGTGGTCCCCGAGATGGTTTTCCTGTTTTGGTCAGTCCCTAGCTATGGAAAGGTTGAAAACCTTTGATTTAGAGGACTAACTGTCCTTGACTTGAAGCAATAGAGATGACCTTGTGGATAAAGTAGCAGTTGCAAGAACTGCAGGGTAAAGTCATACTTGTATTCTTCATTCTAAAAGAAGGAAAGGCAGGGTGTAGTCAAATGCGTACCCTGGATTTTAGGAAAGCAAATTAGAATAACAATGATAAGTAAGATCCCATGGCAAGTGACTTTAATTAAAGAGAAGTGCAAGATGGGTGGGCATTTTTAAAAAGGAAATTCTAAAGACACAATTTAAAACAATTCTAACAAAAAAAGTAGAAGACAACAGAAGAAGCCAATGGGACTTCAAAAATGCATAGAGCTTACCTGAAAACAAAACAAAAAATACATAGGAAGTGGAAGGAAGGCCAGGCTGCAGTAGAGTACAGAGGGGTGGCATGGAATTGTGGGGATGGTGTGAGGAAGACTAAAGCTAAGAATGAGCTGAGGTTAGTTTAGCAAGAAATACTAAAAGAAACAAAAAAGCCTTTTCAGATACATGCACAGCAAAGAACAGAGGAAAGAATGGGTGGCTTAGCTACTAAGCAAGGATAGCAAAATGATAAACAGACAACAAAGAAAAAAACAAAAGTGCTGAATTTCTGCTTTGGCTTAGTCTTCTCGCAAAAGAGGGTCTATGATCTCCCTGGCAAAGGTGAAGTACGAGCTGAAAAAGCAGGATTGTCACTTAAGATTGAAAAGCAAATAGCCAAAAAACACCTAACTGCATAAACAAATAGTCAAAGAACACCTAATTGCTTTGAACAAGTTCAAATCGCCAGGGCCTGATGAATGCTAGAATGATAGATAAACTGGTAGAGGAAATCTCAGAATCACTGTCTATTACATGGGTCCTCAAACTGCGGCCTGCGGACCATGTGGCAAGGTGCCAGCTTGCTCGCAAGGAGATCGTTTTGGACTCGCTCGGAGAAAACGATCTCTGTGCACACCTGCCCCTGTGGCGGCTTGCTTGCAAGGAGATTGTTTTCTTCGAGCGAGTTCAGATGATCTCCTTGCAAGCAAGCTGGCACCTCACCGTGCACATGCTCGCAAGGAGATCATTTGAACTCGCTCGAAGAAAACAATCTCTGTGCATGCACGCCTCTGCCTTGCTGCGCACGTGCATGCCCCCCCCCCCGCGCCCACACCACCTTGGCGACCTGTGCACCAGGTCGCCAGCACCTTTCAACTGCCCCCCGTTCAAAAAGTTTGAGGACCCCTGGTCTATTATCTTTGAGAAATCATGGAAGATGGGCATGACTGGAAGAGACCTAATGTCCCTTAAAAAAATGGGAAGGAGGAGAATCCGTGCAACTACAGAATACTCAGTCTGATATGCCTGGAAAAATTCAGCAGCATATCAGAAAAAAATCAATCTGCAAATACCTTGAAAAAAAAGGCAGTGATTATTAGAAGCTAACATGGATTTGTTAAGAACAAATCCTGTCAGACTAATCTGATCTCAATTTTTGCTTTTGACAAAGTACCTCAAATGTAAATTTGCTGAAAGTGAGCTAGGTGGAACAACTATCATTTGGCCACAGAATCAGACTGAAAGAGTGTTTATCAATGGCATTTTAATGATTTTGAAGAGGAGGTAGAAGGAATGCTGAATGTAATTGCAGAAGACAAAATTGGATGACATAGCTAATACCCTTGAAGACAAACAAAATTCAAAGTGGTCTTGATAGGTGGAAGCACTGGTCTGAAAACTACACAATGTAATTTAATAGGGACGAATGCCAACTTCTGCACCTAGAAAAAAGAAGAAACCAAATGCATAGTTACAAGATGGGGGATACTTGGCTCAACAGTATTACCAACAGGAGGATCCTGTAATTGTCATAGATCACAAGTTGAGCATGAATCAACAGTGTGATGCAGCTGCAAAAAAGGTTAATACTGTTTTGGACTACATTCATAGAATTATCACCAAATCATGTGAAATGTTAGTTCCCTCTATTCAGCACTGGCTAAGCCTCATCTTGAATACTGTATCCAGTTCTGAACACCACAGTTTTAAAAAGATGCACACAAAAAAATTCAGAGGAGGGCAACAAAGAGAATCAGGGGACTGGAAACAAAGCCCTATGAGGAGACACTGGAAGAAGAGGCCATCTTTACCTGAAAGAAGAAAAGACTGAAGGGAGATAAGATAGCACTGTAAAGGTACTTGAAAGAATGTCACAAAGAGGAGGCCTAGAATCTCTTCTCAGTCATCCCTGAGTGCAGGACACAGAAAAATGAGCTCAACTTACAGGAAAAAGTTCTTGTTTGTTACAGCAATATGACAATAATTGGGAGGTTTGGGGCTCTGCCACACTGAAGGCGTTCAAAATCCAGCAGGACAGCCATCTGTTACGGATATTTTTACTTGAAATCTTGCACTGACCAGGGGGTTGGATCTGATGACTCTTTCCCCTTATTGGCCTCCTTCCAACTCTACTATTCTATGATTCTGTGATTCTATGATTTTAGTTTAGCCCTTCCCCCAGCACTGCTAAGAAAGCTGCAATTTCCCAATGGAACCTTTATAGTTTCCTAAATCCCAGCACTGAAAAATAAATAATCATGCCTTTCAGAAATGCTCACAGGACAGTCCTTCAAAAACAACCCAGTTTTGTAATCCAGTCCTTGAGTGGGAAAGTGGGAAATTTCCAACAGGCTTCCTTTGAATCCTTCTCAAAAAGCAGTTAAAACCTTGAGGACCTTATG